GGATTGGACTCGCCGTTGAACAGCGAAACAGCTCAAAACCCGCCTGACGGCGATTCCGACCGCGCTAACAAAGCAGGTCCCCTCCGCGGCTCCATAGGAAGAAGAATTGCAGGGCTGGTCTGGTTGTGCCCATCGCCGAAAAGCCCCCCCTGTTATTGCCAGGGGGGGTTCTCTTGTTGTGAAAGGCCAACGACCGGGGATATCTCGCACTTGGATGATTTTCCATTTATCTTTAGAAAAATCACGTCGTCAAATGATTTATTTTATCTGTTTATTTATTTGTTTTATCTTTGTTTTTCTGTCCCCGCCCCGGCCGAATGCCCCGGAGCAGAGCCCACCGTTTCGGACCGTCTCCGATGGAGTTGATACTGGAACTTGCTGTACGGAGCAACCAACGTCAATTATCAATCAAATGTCCCCGAACAATCGATATATGCAATGCCTTTGAGACTTGGAAATGTGGAATCACAGTTGTTTCCCAATTCTTGTCGTTGATAATCCACGAAGCCTAATGTGGGAGTTGAGTGAATCTTCGATCCAAAACGCCACAGCCGGGTGGGTGGCTTTCCTGTCAAACCACCTCAGTTGCTCGTCTTCAGGCAAAAGAGTACCGCAACCTCGGACATCCATCATGGGTATTAGCAGAAACAAAGAAAATTGGTGATATTTCACCGACGGCAACGGGAATCTTTTTGAGAATCACATGGCGGAAACGATGAAAAAAACAAGGCCCAACCTCGAAAGCAGAAATGTGCCCGCGGAATAAGATTAAGCAGCGAGACCAGGTCCCCGGCCAGCCAGCCAGCCATCACATCCAAATTGGCCGGCCCCAGCACCAAGGGAGCAGCACAACGAAACCCTGGAAAATAAAAACACCACGTTTTTCTTCTTCAAAAGTGCCTCCTTTTAGCACACCGGAAGCCCATCCGGCGGCCAGGGGCCACGCAAAAAGCCCACCCCATGTCGGAGTCTGGGGCCCTGGTTGGCCTTGTGACTGCTGGAGCGATCTGACTGTTATAATACATATGTACAGGCACAGAGCCGGGGGCAAGCGACGAGCAGGAAGAGCAACGGATAGTGGGCTCCCGTCCTCCGCATGTGGCATTTTAACGTTACAGTACTCGTGCGTACTCTGTGCGTGGACGTCTGATCGGTGCTGACCAAAGGAGAGCGTGTTGCCGGTGCCTGACTTGTCGCCGTTGGATAGCCCGGATGTCGAATCCAGTACCTTGTCCGCGGGAGTGCATGGGGAATATGCTGGTACTGGTTACTAGTAGTATATGCTGTTCTGCGGCGCAACCTGTTATGGCGTTCGGACCCGAGTGTTTGTGAATGCTTGCTCGAGAGCTTCTCCTCACAGTTTCGACTCGACTCGCATTCGCAAGGCTGTTGTATCTGCCCTCTCGGATATTATACGAGAGAAGTAGCACTGCCTTGTTTTGAAACCTCAATCTCGGCTCAGAGCAGTGATACCAAACCGTAAAGAGGAAACCGAAGCACCAGCAAAAGCGTGTCAAGCAGCAGCATAGCTTTCAGTGAAGCCATACAGCCTCTGAGAGGAGCCCACATCGGAAGTCGACAAATCTCGTCATTGGATAGAAAGGAGATGCAAACACACCTAGCAAAGCGGATAGGCCTTGGCCCTTTTGACAGCTTTGCGGGCCGTAGTTCTGATGGACGCAGATCAGAAACTGAGCAGGGCTGATAGAAATGAACTTTGACTTGCCCCCCTTGATCGGCCCTCCAGCAAGTGGATGCTTTCGCTCGAACGCCCCCCCCCCGGTCCAAACTGCAGCAACTTGCGATTCGCCGAATAGGACGCGCTCTTATAGCAGAGCGCACCGTTATCGTGGTTTGTAGTCCGAAGTAATAGTCGTATCGGGCCTTATAGGGATGGCAGAATAAGCATAGTAAGTGTTCGCAGTGGTTTGACTCCGGGTGGGTTTCTGCAAGCATATGCAGGGCCTCTCCACGATGGGCTTGGAAGATATCGTGACAAACCACGCATATGCGGGCAGTGGCAGTAGTAGTAACATAGCTTCTGTGAGATATGCCAGCAGCAGTCACGACTCCGATGACCCGCTGGTTCTTCGAGTCGCGATGCTACCACGTAGTGATACGCCCCGGGACTCTGCTGACACCTGTAGGTTCATGCGGAACTCTTACGGGAGCAGATAAAGGTTCCATTACCGGCGGGAAAGCGTTCATCTGAGTACCGAACGCCGTACAACGTAACTGTGCTGTCATCCAGGCTGTTGGTATCTCTTCAGGAAAGAAGGCTGAGTCATGACCAAGGCGACACGAGACGAAGCAAGCCTCCTGGGATCGCCTTTCCTTGTAATCAATCGTCGGGAGCAAACACCACCGGCTCAGTCACTCACCGTTTCTGGCGGTTCATTTCAACCTGTTGATGAATCTCAGGGGTCCATGACAGCAGCATGTACTCGTATACCGTATCCGGTATGACAAGGGAACGCTCATTGATATCGCCTCAGGAGCATCTCGGCCTCCATCTGCTTCCCGCGCTCGCCCGTGAGAAGAACGAAAGACGCCGCCAAATTGTAGATAAGCAAAAGCGGGAGACGCTCGATCAGGAAAGTCAAATCTGCATCTTGACATACAGCCACTGACCTTCTTTTTTTCTGCTGATCTTCTAGAAAACCAAGTTAGTCAGTCCGTACCTGTGGAACGTGTGGATGGGTAATACATACCTCGACAAACTTGCCCGCGCCGGGGATCCTTTTGATTCCCACTTTGTACAGCCTGCAACTCACACACCTTCATATAGTCAACAATATGTGGGATGTGTCAAGGCGTGGATGCTACACTGCGGCCATGGCCATGTGAGAAAACATGAAACGCATCTTCATCTCTTCCACATTACCGGGGGGAAGAGGGTGACCTTTTTTTCCCTCGCCCACATCAACCCCCAAACTTGAGCCCCGAAAGATACGAGTTCCCTCACAGGAACAGTCAGAAGTAATACTATCACACCTTAGACAAGCAACACAGCAAACAGCAGAACAGACCGGGGGGGTCGGCCATTTTGCGGGGGTGGCACCGAAGATCCCCGACGAAATCCGCTTAGCCTCCCGTTCTCTTCTTTGTCTGCTTTGTTCTTGTTCCGTCCGTCAGCCCCAGGGATCGTGTGTCAACGAACGTGGGAAGCATGCATGAAACGTGCCCTTTAGACCCGCCCTCCAAGAAAAGCTTGTTGACACTACTAGAACTGGCAGCTTCGGCGAACTTTCGTATCGTGCTTCGTGACAGCCATGTACTAGGTATACATATGTATTATTTCCTGTTGTTCCCAGTGCTGTCGTTCTCGTTCGGCTGTTTGCGTCCAAGGTGCTATCACAAGGGGAGCACCAGCCTTGTATATCCCCAGCCTTCTTCTCCTCACAGACAAAGCCTGGAATAGAGCGGCAAGTACATACTATCGCGGCAATCACCACCCGGCGTCAAGGCGCAGCCTCCGGACACATGGAAAGAGGGAATCTGTCAGCAGGGCACCCGTCGCAGGGTCTCGTAGCCTCGTGTGTGATAAAGGAAGAAGAAAAAAAAAAGTCTCGAGTACTTGCGCATCGACAAGGCGTCCCTCACGTGGCCGCAGGCGGAAAAACCTGAGCCACCAATAAACCACCGCAGCCTCGTCCATCACAAAAGTATCGTGTACATGCTTCGCCCTTATTACAACTTGAACTTGGTCCTCAACCACATACTACAAGTACGTACCTACTAAGTAAGTCAATCCATCACCCGCCGCCTGTTCGGGGCATCACGACACCCTCCTCCCCCTCCGCGTCTTGCTATCCGTTTCCCCATTCGGCCCTACCGGCTGATCTTCCCTCCTGCTTCCCCCCCCGTGGGCTCGAAGACTCACCACCACCACCCTTTCTCACCCCTCCTTCGCTGCCTCAAACGAGCCAGGGCCATGTCCTGTCTTGCTTGAGACCGGGAGGATCATTCTTTCGGTTCCCCATGGAGAAGAACTTTGGAAGGTTGCGCAACACCTTTTTTTGACCCTTTCTCAAGTAAAGAGAGAGGCTGTCCCTTTTTCTCTTCCAATTTTCCCCGGGCTTTTGTCGCGGCATGAGCAAGGGACGGGGTAGTAAGGACGCGCAGGAGGGGTGCCAACGTAGCAAAAACATGACAACCTCTATTGAATCAAAGGAAGAAAGAGGGAACGCATACATACGCACAAGCGCAATACGCATTCTCCGGACGTTGATACAATGTCCGAGGTGGAAAACGTGAATACTATATACATACACATACTCGTCTGAGCGCTGGTTGCAACCCCTCAGGATACTCCTCATCCCCACCCCCCCTATAAACAACCGACACGGACGAAGATTAACAAAAAGGAAAGAAGAATAACAGTCTTTCACATGAAGAAGCCAAAAAAAAGGGAAGTAAAAAGACACGCGATATTCTTGGTGAACAAGGCTCTCTCGATGGATGCCAGATTTAGATTGCGCCAGTAGGAGTACGGGTATTTAAAATGCCCCATGGGGGGGTTTCCGCCTCTGCGAGCTGTCACTTTTCTGAATCCGATTTGGGGTTTCGTTTTGCATTTAGCCGGAATGCGATATTCCAGATTTTCGTATGATAATTGTGATTTAAATTTTTTTATCTTTTACCTCTTGAATTTATCAGTATTTGATTATATTCTCGACTTCCATATCACCAAGTGCTGTCGTGATACGCATCATGCGTCCTCGGCGTGGGTGTTTGGAATAGGGGGATGTCCCAACTTCGACAATTGATGCAAGTTACGTAAAGCAATGAATACCAGCTTCTTCATACCTTCTCCTTAGGCCGTGACAAAAGGTGAATGTAGACGATTCCAGCGTGCGTCCATGTAATTGACTACAGCAGCTGCGTCAACACCACATCTCGCAAGCATCACCCACGCAAAGACCTTCAACTTCCCATCTCTTGTCTGCTCAAGACGTCTCATTCCAATTGCCAGCTCAAAACATCGCATTGGCAAGGCCTCAATCCTTCTTGGCCGCAGACCCCCCAATCCTCTTATACTTCCTCGTATCGTTCCTCCTCATCGTCGTCTTATCCCTATTCCCCTTGCCACCCTCCCAGAATCCTTTCCCCCTCCTCCCAATCACGCTCCGGCCGCAGAAGCGACACGCCTCCACGGCGTAGTTCTGCTCGCGGCTGCAGAAGCCGCAAATCATCCTGTTTGCCCACTCGTTGACGTGGTCCTCGGCTTGGTCGTGGCACTTGTCGCACTTGTACACGCGGTTGCAGCACGAGAAGCGGAACCACCGGTAAGACTTGCGGTAGTGGGAGCAGGTGCCCCGATCCGGAAGCTGGTCGCCCGCGTGCAGTCCGAGCTTCTCTTGCTTCCGTCGGGGGCCAACGGAGGGCGGAGGAAGCGTTCCAGGGGAGACAAAGAGGAACTTGACTTCGGGGATCTTGAAGGTGAACTTGCTGTGGCAGTCGCGGCAGACGTTGGTCGTAGTCTCGCCCCTGACGGAAACAAGCCCTTGGCTGGGAGTCGAGCACTTGGCGCACGTAGGCACAAAAGTACTCGGCAGCATATCTGCCACCTTGCCACCTGAGAGATCAATGAAGCCAGCTCTTGTCGAGTTCTGATGAACAAGCTGTTGACTAAACTTGGCGGTGAGGGTTGTGGCGCACTTCTTGCAGCTCGACGTCTTTTCCACTCCTGGTTTGAGTCCAGTCATGTCGTTCACCGTCTTGCAACGCTCGCATTTGACGCTTAGACTCAGTATGGAAACCTGTAAAAGCTCGATGCTGTGAAGTTCAATGTTTGGGAAGGATATCATGGTGCCGTGTTCGACCGCATCGTCGGATGAAGGCACTTTCGCGCCCTCGTCCTCGTGCCCCAGCATGGCACCGCCGTCTTCTGCATCGTCGTCCGAATCCGAGTAGCTATCCTCTTCTGATTCGCCTTCTTCGTGAACGTTCCATTCGGGGGGTCGAGGAATGACCTGGATGTGCCCCTTCCCCTTATCAAGCGGCTGCGACGAGCCGGCCGACGCATCCCTGGAAACTTGCGACGACACCTGCTGTTGAGGCTGCTGCTCCAGGGCTGCCGCGGCTGCTTTCTCCTTTTCAGCCTTGACTGCCAGTTCGTGCGCCTGCTTTGCGAGGTTATGGAGGTTTTGGGCCAAGTAGTTGACATGGCTCATGAGGGTCATTTGCTTCTGTTCCGCAGCCTTTTCCGCAAAGAGCTCCTCGATGGGTTCCGCATCCTCGGCGTTTGCTTCATTCAGCTGCACTCGCAGCTGCTGCAGCGGATACAGCAGTGGGACGATGAGGTGAATGCTGTTCACTGAATGTAACCCAGAGGGGAGCTCCCCACGGCGTTTGGGCTCGATGGGCAGTGTGAAGACGACACCGTCTGCCGACCGGCGAAACTGTGGCATCCTGCCCATCCTCGCCTCGAGCTGCCGAATCTCCTGAGCTCGTCGTGCTTTTGCCTCCGCAATCTGCTCCCTCGTGTATGATGGCTCCGGGACGTAACGCCTTGGAGGAGGTCTGGGAGCAGCCTGCTTTTGTACTGTGGGAGGCGCAATCGCAGCGGACTGTTTCTGTTCCGCTGCATGATCGAGATGCCTCGTGTCTTTGAACGATACCAGTTTGATCGTCTCAACTTTCTGCTCCGACAGGAATCGTTCCAGATTCCTATCCAAAGCATATACCAGCGCCAAGAGAGTCGACCCCTTCTTCTCCTCGGCAAGCCTATCCCATCCCCTCTCAATGTTGATGCTGAACCCCTTGGGTATGTCCTTATTCCTGACGAGCAGCACCGGCCTTTCCTCCGGGTACTCCTCCGGGACGCGGACATCGCACTCCAAGTACGGCAGCTCAAAGGGGAAATCCGGATCCGAGGGCTTGAGCTTAAACACCAGCGACGTCTCTCCGGCTGCGGTCGTAGACACTTTGGGCGAGAATCTCCTCTTCAGCTGCTCAATCTGGTAGCCTCGCGGGTCCTGCACCTGTGCTTCCGGCACGGGCTTGGAGACGACCCGTGAGCCAGGGGCGTCTCGGACGGCTTGTTTGCGGTCCAGAGGGGAGCCGTCTGGCTGCGACTTGAGAGAAATCATGGCTGATGGTGTCGAATTAGGGGAGTCGAATATGTCGGGAATCTTGGACGTTGGATCGTCACACAAGTGACGAATGGTATGTACGGATAGTGAGAAGCTGAGAAGAAACAAAACCCCAACGCCAAAAGAAGGAAGAACACAGTAAGGCAAGTCCTAATAGCAAGGCTCTGCTATGTAATTCCGAATGAACGATGATAAACACAGGCAAAAGCTCGTCAGTTTCCGTCTGTATTTGACTGGAAAACCACATCAGGAGGCAAATGGAAGGCTGAGGCGATATCCAGAAGCTCGGGTGGGGCTGAGCTGCTGAAGTTCGACGTTGGTGGGGCGAGTGACTGCTTCAGGCCTCTTCTTCAGTGAGTCACTCACTGCTCGGGCAGATTTAGTCAGCCAGCATCTTCATCTCCCAAGTGCAGCACTAACAGAATAGAGCAGAAGATGCGCACCACCTGCGATAGGGAGGAACGTTTACGGCGTCTCCAGGATCTCCAGATTTGGATCGTCTCATCTCAGACATCCGCCCTCCTCCATTGTGTGAAGCCCTCATCGTCATCTTCTGGAGTCATTCATTAAACGTGAGTCACTTGAATCTAGCTGTTTGAAGCAAGTTTCCCCTGAGTAGCCTCTTCCACGCTCTACGATACCTCCGTATAGTGTGCTGATTCCGGACGTAATTTGTACAGAGGACGGTGTACACCTCGATGCATCCTACCTACATGTAGGTAGGTCAGTCATGATGGCAGTGGTTTCCAGCCTCTCATCGGTGGATTTATCTATATGCCTGACAGAATAGGGAGGCGTTTGCAATCACTGCATCCACTGCAAGCTGAGTGGCAGATACTACGACCACATCACCACGCCCCCCGAGCACGTTGATCGCTCCCATTGGCAGTAAAAGCAGCCCTGAGGACCAAGACTCCTTCAATTCGTATGCTCTCCCCCGTCTCTGGTTGGCTCATACCAAAGGCTGCGCATGTATGTACATACATGCCCATGTAGCCATATCACACGATGCTTGATCGCTGCTCGTATCGGCAACAGACGTGCATGGTCAGCCTACCTCGTGCAGCTCATTCTCCTCATTTCCCCCCCTCGCAAGCATCAACCTCAACACGCAAGCCTCCCCCAAAATATCCAATGACGAGACGCTCCATCACCCAGGCAGAGAAGCACGCCCAGCCCAGATTCGTAGACGCAGGGCGTATTTTGCCTACCCATTGGCCCGTAGAGGTCAAAGGCTTCCCTCCCTGTCACGCTGGTTCAGGCGAATTGCAGCCCGGTATAGCTGCGGCTGCGAGACATGGGACGTGCCGTGTGGCGGCAAAAAAAAGTGGCAGCAGCAAAGAGAAAATTCAAGAATGGGTGTTTTTCTTTTCTTTTCTTTTTCTTTTTCTTTTCTTTTTTTATCTCTTTTACCTGTCCCACACACTGCTCGTTTATCCGGGGAGACGGTGCAATGATCCTATTTGCCTGATCGTGGCCTTGCCGACGGAATGACTGACTGACAGACGGCGCTTCCCGTCTGCCTCTGTGGACGGACATGCAGCTCGTGCCGGATTCGATGTCTGCGTAACAGATTCTGGCCTATCTGAACACCTGGGTGGGCTTAATCGAGAAGAGGAGAAGAAAAGAGGCCGCCCAATCCGGACTCAAGTCGGGGAAAGTAGAAGAATAGAAAAATAGGAGGTAAATTCAAAGAAAATGGATTAAACTGAGATCAACAACTGCAGCCCAAATTGGACATGCGGAGAGCTTATTCAGACGTTTCCGTGACAGATACCATCACGATACACGGGCATCACGTTGAACTGAATCTATCATCCGTACATATACAGACAAGTAGCGCCGGCAGTGTGATCCGGGGAGAAGCATGAGACAGCACGGAAAGCAGAGACATGGAGAGAGACACCCAACCATACCTAGGTAGTAGTAGAGGCCAAACTGAGACTGAGACACACACACACACACACACACGCATACATACACGATATGTAGGGATAGGCCATGTCGAGCTGCCGCCTGCTTGCTCACCGTGATCACAACGACAACGCACGCCCCCCATCTGCAAGTCGGGGATGACAGCAAGCATTGATATCGCATCTGTATCGGGATCTCTCTTAGTAATACTCTTGCACAAGGCGAAGCGAGTAGTCCGTCCGGGTTACAAGGGGGAGTGAGCCACAGCTGCCTACCTGAAGTTATACAAGTGCGCCTCGTTCCACGGCCTCAGAAAGGGCCCGGACGACGCACATGGGGCAATGCAATGGCCACGAGAAGAGGAGCTCCAGATCACACCAAGAAAAGGAAAATAAAATGAAATAACAATGCTAACAAATTAATGTAAGAATAAAGCCAACGGGCAAAAAAAAACAAAAAAAGCCCAGAAAAATGAAGAACAAAAGCAAAGCAAAGCGAAGCAAAACAGAAGAGGGGGCCGGCTGCAGTGCAGAAATGCTTGGTGCCGGAGTAATTTGTGCAGCTGTGGGCGGATGGCTCCATGCCTCCGTCGTGGAGGTGCTGCCAGCTCAGCAAGTGTCTGGCAGATGACCTGGAAGAGCGCGGGATGGCGGCTTCAATGCATCAGCGCCCTTTATTAGATGGAGATGAGGGGGGTGGCGGTGAGAAGAGAGAGAGAGAGGCGCTCGATGGTATTAATACTATGCTGCGTAGGGCACGATTCGTCAGTGACGGAGTGGTGCTGGGAGGGGGGTTTCCTCGAGCTGAAAGGGCCGTGGGTGGCATTCCGTCTTGGGCGGGCACTACTATACTATCGTGAGGTTGCAGAATGAGGGAGAGGAGTGAGCATGAGAAGAGTAGGTAGTGAGGACAGGTGGGAGAAGCAGGCAGTGGGGGCTGGACACCACCCGCATGCATCGCCATATTAGAATAGATGCATCTCGTTATTGGCCTTGTGGGAACAAACAAGAAATAAATACATAAAAATAAACAGAAAACAAAAAAATAAAATTCTTAGTTTCATCCATTTGATATCCTCATTTAATCTTGCTGCCGTTCCTTTATTTCCAGTCAAAATACTTCATCTTCTTTTCCCCGCAACCCTTGTCAGCCTCTGTGTTCGTCCCTCGGCGCCGTTTGGGTACCGATCGAGAAGCTCCAAGGCTGCTTCCAGTCAGAGGATGCTCTCCGTTTTGTCGTCTATCTCGTCACGATTGGCAGTATGATGTTGTACTCGGCCACCTCGAGATGCCCGATGAATACTTGTGTAGCTTCAGACGACGAAAGATAGCCGCGAACATACTGCTGCTGCCGCACTTACACGCATCTCTCTCTCTCTCTCTCTCTCTCTCTCTCTCTCTCTCTCTCTTTCTCTTGCATCCCCTTACTTGACACACACCACTCGACCTCTTCCCGTCCTGATCCTGCAAGCCTCAAATTCCCCGGCTTCCTCTTCCGCTGCATCCCCCAGTCGTAGTGGCTGTCTCTATCCAAGAGATCGAAGATGGTGTATAGCCATGACAGTCATTGATGAGCTCCTAATACTCCAGGCATGTACTCCGTACCTCTCACACTTCTTCCATAGGAATCCCCGAAATGCCCCCTCCATCGTATGTGCATCGCGGGCCTCCGATCCATCATGTTCACCTCCCATGATTTTCTCCTACATCCCTCTCGTTGGCCCCGGAAAAGCCATCGTCCATGAGACTTCGATTGCGTGAACAATATAACAGAACGTCGCAGTCAGGCAGACACCCCTTCCCTTCCTTTCCCCCGCCAACCAACGACAGCAAAAGTCCGGTTTCTCGCCCTTTTTTGGGCGTTAAAAACGGTGTCCATGGCCTTGGATCACACGAGGAACCGGCATCTGACGGCTGCTCGTCCGATTGTCTCGACATGCAAGACGGAGCATGTGTTCCCGGCCACCTGAAGGGCCGCATGCTGCTGGGTAGCCCAACGTACATACATTAGCACACGCATGTGCGAGTACCCGTAGGGAGTGGTTACATGCATGCCAATTCATCTCTTCTTGGTCGAGCAATAATAACGGAGAAGCTTAGACAGACAGACTCCCTCACTTACTCATTAACTCAAAGATGGGCTCAGACACTGACTGACACGGGCACTTGACACACGCTCTGACGCATGCACAGACAACGGCGCACACAGACATCGGACGCCTCTTCCAGTATACAAGTTCCTGTGCAAGTATTACTCACGCATCTCGCCTACATTGTGTGTATTGTGGACGAGGATATACTCGACCCGGCAGTCCCTGGACCTGTACGAGGCTGCGTGCTGGCCCGAAGCCATCCAAATCGCCTTCACTTACAGTAAATACGCATCTCAAGCCTCGTAAACGCTCGTCATGACCAACATGAATCAGCACTGCACATGTACCAAGAGTTGCTCTTTGAGTACCTACACACTGTCATTACTGTGCATACCCAGGACGCTCCCACACAAGACATGCATCGATAAGCCATCTCACAGCTACACCATGGCCTCACATCGTAGACATACCCAAAAGGCCCTATGAATGCCCGGATACAGCCTCGGCACCAATGCAAAGTAAATTGCATATGCATCATAAATTGTTCGTCATCCATCCCGTGTGGCAGCAAACAAAACCAAACATACTAGTATGTATCAGCCCTCTTTTCCCAATTACTACTATGATGTTATCACCACTTTCTGCTCGGATGTCCACCAACCCGGTTCATTCCCTCATGTTCATACACATCAATCCTCCGTCATCGCCGCCCGCATCCCACACCCCAGCCTTGTCTCTTTTCACCAACGTGAAATAAGCAAAGACGCAGAGAAAAGACGCAAGGGGTGCAAAAACAAAGGAGCTGCCCGAAAAGAAGGGGGAAAAAAACAAGGCAGTGTACAAGTAAACAATCATGCATCTGCCACTCACTCTTCTTTTCCCCTCGACACGAACCCGGGGCGCCATGCCCTCGTCCCCCGACTGGCCGAACCAATTTTCGATAATTCGACGCCTCTACAGCAAACAACATGTAGAATCCCAGTCAAAGCGTCAAGTACATACATAGACAGAGAAAGCATGGAAATTCTCCTTCTCTTGTCATCCCCACGCCAATGCAATGTAAATCCCCTTGAGCCACTTACCTCACGCATCACCGTCCCCCGTCACACCGATGGCCCTCTCCCTATCACATTACACAGCGCCAGCCCCCTTCACGTTTTTTCCATTCGAGCCCTTCCACGTCACGCAAACAATGAAGGCGCCTCCCATCTCGATTCCGTGTCACTGCAATCTTATCATGAAGCGCTTGGCAGCAACCATTTTCCTTGGAAATCAAGCTTTTTCCATGTTACATGCTCTTTGCGCCGTGCTTTATCTTGTAGCACCATGGGCTTTGAACGACCTTGTCATCGGCCCGCATGTTGTGAAACACACATAAAAAGTATACTAGTAGTACGGCGTAAGGTAAGTTGTCCATGACCACTTGATTCGACCTCACCGACTTCCTCCCCAGAAGCAAACAGGTAGAAAAAGCCTCTCGTAGCACAAATCCTGCGTCTTGCCCTTTCACGTCCAGGGATCTTATGCTCACCGGCTGCATCAGCCGCAGCTGAATAACCCCAGCATCTACCAATCGCTGTGAAGGAAAGAAAACAATGCCTGCAACAAGAGCAACTTGGACGCAGAGTTGTGTTCACATGGATGACGAGGAAACAGAGACTCTGTCTCATTTCAGGTGAGAAAAGAAAGAAAAAGTCACATTGTTCTTGACCAAAACGTGGCTTGACCGACGTGTTCATGTTTGCTTGTTTGAGGCGTCAAGCCGGCTTGATGCGCTGCCGCTTCCCCGTGACGAAGAGAGAACACACCTGGGGCCTCTGGGCTGGGCCTGTGCAATGGATTGTGGATTTGGGCTTCGATATATTCCATGGAAAATTGCATTTAATCGATTAAAGAAATAATGATCATTTTGATCGTGGAGAGAAAAAACAATGGTAGGGCGTGCTCGGGGCGTGGCCATGAAAACGGTGGACGAAACGGTGTCTCTTTTGGTCTTTTGCTTCTGGTCGGTGCTATGAATTGACGCTTTATCTTCATTTGAGTAGGTCATATCGAGGATCGTAGATCGGGTGTGAAGATCAGTGCTTTTATGTCTCATGTAATTGGTTGAAGCCATAGTTTCTCTCCATGATGCTGGTTTCTCTCCGTGAGTTGTTCGAGAACGCCGCCTCACAGAATCTTACGAACAGAGCTGTCTCCAGACTATGATACGGCTGAATCATTGTAAGGTAGACGGCGTGAGGTACTCACAGGATTTGGTGAGTATCGAGAAGAATGCGACGAGCTGGCGCATAATCATACTGATTTGAGTTGTGCTTGTAGATTGACTTATATTATCACTCGCAGTGACGAGCAAATGGTTTCTATTTGACCAACCAGGCTTTTGATATGCCCCCCCGCCTATCTATGTTCAGACAAGACACCCCTTAAAAATCGTTGTCATCAGAGCCAGACACAATGACATTGTTCACCTTGAGAACCATGCGGCACAGCTGTGTCGCCAGCTGCAGCTGCTGCTTCTTGCTAATCAACGGGTCAATGACAAACGCCGCCTTCATGTCGTTGTCGCCCCGTCCCATGCAGTCGACGCCGAGCTTGCCCCTGTCGCTCGGTCCCGCCTTGACCTGCTGGCTCTTCACCTCCGCCAGGGTTGCGATGGAGTTGAGACCGCTGTTCTCGGCCAGGGCCATGGGAACGGCATCCAGGGCTTCGGCAAAGGCACGCATGGCGTACTGCTCCAGGCCGGGAGTCTTGCCAGCGGCGTCCTCTACTGCCAGCGAGCAGGCAATCTCGGCGGCACCACCTCCGTACACGACTCGGTTGTCCCTGACAAGGTTCCTTACGACGCAGAGAGCGTCGTGCAGAGAGCGCTTGGCCTCGTCGATGATCTAGATTGTCCATGTTAGCCCGGGAAAAGGAGAAACGTTTAACGGAAGCTCAAGCATTGCCATACCATCTTGTTGCTTCCTCGCACAAAAACAGTCACGGCACGAGTGTTGGCACACTCCTCGATAACCAGCATCTTCTCTCTTGTCGTTCCAAAGGTCATTTCTCTGACAATGCCGGCAGAACCCAGCTTCTCTGGCTTTAGGTCCTCGAATCGAGGTACTATCCTGCCGTTGGTAGCAATGGCGATCAGTTCAATCTCGGGGCCACCGACCCATCGCACAGCGGGCAGCTGGTTCTGGAGTAGAAGGTGGTTTGCCTCGTCATCGAAACCCCACTGGCAGATGGCCAAGTTTGCGCCGGTGTCCTTGATCTGCTGGATCATCTCGACAAACTTCTCCTTCTCGTAGTTTTGCAGCTTCTTGAACTCTTCCACACTTGTGATGTCGAGGTGGTGCTTGGTCTTGGGCTTGGGGGGCTCGAACGCGCATGTCAGGATGGCAATCTTGGCATCCTTGACCTCTGAAGGCATCTGGGGATGGGAGAAGTCCTTGTCGATGATGACACCCTTGACAAGGAGAGTGTCCTCGAGGGAGCCGCCGACCTTGCCATCAACCTTAATCAACTCGAAATCGACGTCTTTCCGCTCCAGGTCAGCCACCGACAGGACGGCGTCCACGGCAATGTTGGCAAACTGATCGTGAGCCTTGGAGACAATCTTGCTTCCCAAACTCGTCCGTGCTACCTTGAGCAGGTTGGAGGTGTTCTCCTTTGAAAACTCAATGGTATCTGAGATCTTGTCCAGCTCGGCAACAGCAATGTCGCAGGCCTGGTCGTAGCCGTCGGCGATGCGGATAGGGTGGATGCCCTTGTCGATGAGGTCGGCGGCCTGCTCGAGGAGGGCACCGGCCAGGACAACGACACCGGTGGTGCCGTCACCAATCTCCTCGTCCTGCGACCTGGAAAGCTCCACCAGCAGCTTGGCAACGTGGTTGCTCACTTCCATCTGCTGTAGAATCGTGGCTCCATCGTTTGTGACCGTGATATCGCCGTCGGGGGAGATGAGGATCTTGTCGAGACCGCGAGGACCGAGTGACGTCTTGACAATGTTGGCGACCGTTCGGGCGGCGAGGATGTGTGACTTGACGGCTTCGTTGCCAAACTGGCGCTTCTTCTTCCCCTGACTATGGTAGACCGCTGTTAGACGACATCCAGCTGCAGACACGACGCTTTGGAGCTTACTCTCTGACGACAATGAAGGGCCGACCTTGCTCATCCTTCACCATCGTCGCTGCACATCAAGCATTAGCTGGCTTCTCATGGTCATCGTCGGGCTATCATGGCTGTACCGTTGGAAACATCTAGATCTATGTGGCGTGCCTGTTAGCTTCAATGCCCCCCTGACCATCGTTGGGTTTGATCCTCACGTACTCAGCGACATCTTGGCGGTGGGAGAACCTGTTGCGAGATTTTATACAAACAAGCTCAAGTCGATGATTCTCGGCACCAAAAGAAGGAATCCCCGTGATATGGCGACAGTGATAGCTTCAAGCTTCCCACGATCGTGCCCGAATTTTTTGACCATTTGGGGGGGAAGATGCCTACAACTGCCACCACAAAGGGTGCGGGACACGGACTAAGAAAAGTCCGCCGGCCGGCCACCCCGCCATATTATCAAGCTTCTGCTGCAGATGCCCCTCCATGACCGGAGCTGGACGGCTTATGTAAAATGCTCGTATGCAGCAACCTTGGAGTTGCCCCTCCGAGGATGAACTCGAGCTCTAGTCTAATACCTCTTGACTTCTAGCTTCAAAGCATCATCTCGTGAAGCCTCAAACGTAATTCTCCCGACAAAGCTTCAAGATACTCAACAACTTCTGCTCTTTAAATCCAGCCGAGTCTATAAGAGCCGTCGACCTCCTTCCATTCTTCCTTTGTCTTCTCCCTCACCTCGATCGCCTCTTGAGCGTGTGCTTATTGGCAGGCCGCATTACGAGACTAAAGAGCGTCTGCCTGAGTCAATGACTCAACGCCGAGCATTTCGTCACATCAGGACCAACAACTAGTGCCTCGAAATCGCTGGACATCCTTTGAACTGCTCCCTTCACTTCCGCAACAAACATTTACCATCTCTACCCACCGAACTCAAACAACACCGAATACCCCGTCGTTCACACGGTCGCAATGGCGCCCCAAGACTATGACGATGACGACTTCGTCGACCAGTACGACGAAGACCTTGGAGAGGAGGAGGACGAGCTGAGCCCCGAAGACAAGATCGCAATGAAGAACGGAACGACAGAGGTGCGCAAGGCCCTTGGAGAAGAAGCGAGCAAGGTCACAGATGCGCAAATACAAGAGGCTCTATGGCATTACTACTACGATGTCGACAAGTCGGTCGCATACCTGACAAGGACCTTCATTGCGCCACCTCCAAAGCCAGCGCCAAAGCCAGCGCAGAAGCCGGCGCCCAAGAAGGCACCAGAAGGTAAGAATGGCGCGCTCTCTTTGATTGCCAGCGGACCTTGTTTAGCCCGGCCCTTTGGAGAAGACGGCGAATACCCCCCTACCATCTGCGACATCCCTCCGCTTGCACGCGCGTTCCCCGTTCTAGAGAAGCCTCGGATACCCGCCAATTTCTTCGACGATATGCCCTGGCTAAACATACCGCGGGGCCGAGAAACCGTTTTCATTGAAACGCCGCGCCCTCGCGGTGGGCTGTTGGGCGGTACTGGTTCTGCCCCCAAGATGTCGAAATTGCAAGCCTTGGCTGCCATGCGGAAGAGAAAGAATGAGGAGAAGAAGGCCCAAGAGAGGCCCGATTCCTTAGAGGGCGAAGTGACGAAGCTTGCGCTTTCTGATGATACAGACAAAGAAAACGTCGGCATCAAGTCGAAGATTCAACGTCGCAACTCGCCCGAGGGTTCTTCTACTCCGCAGGAACAGCCCAAGCAACAGCCTCAAGAACAGGAGCAAAATACGTCAACAGACGCCACCGGCCATTCTCTAGGGGAACGTGCGAGCTTGCCAACTGCCACTGGATCTCAAACCGACGACAGCATATCTGAAGCGCCAAAGCCGGTAGTGAGCCGCAGTCACGCCCCCTCTGCATTCGCTCAGGCGCTTTTCGAGTCGGATTCAGAGGCAGATCAGCGACAAAGGAGGGATGTGTTCGCAATGCCCTACACCCAATCATCCCTATTCGTTGCGTCCGTCTTCTCAGAGCCCAGCCCAGACGATATTGTGCTCGCAGCCCGGGCAAAAGGTTCGAATTTTGCGAAGGCGAAATGATGGGCTAATTCTAATTTTCTGTCCAGCGGGTAAGAAGGCTCCAGCCACGCCGAAGACTCCCAAGAAGTCACAAAAGAACGAGGAATCATCAAAAGAGGGCGGACTTGCGGGCGGCGTGGCAAGCCTCAAGGTAACCGACAGCCCGCCGCCCAAGAGCAAAGGCATTGATGTCATCAAGGAGTTTGAGCAGAGCGCTAGCAAGAAACACGCAAGTTTCGTGGTTGTTGGTACGTTTACGCATATCCTCCGAATTCGAGTGTCTGCTGTCACTAACCAGCTACAAAGGCCACGTCGATGCTGGCAAGAGTACGCTGATGGGCCGGCTCCTGTTGGAGCTGAAACTTGTGCAGGAGCGTACAGTGGACAAGTATCGCCGGCAAGCCGAGAAGGCGGGAAAGGCGTCGTTCGCACTGGCATGGGTCTTTGATCAAAGAAGCGAGGAAAGAGATCGAGGTGTGACAATTGACATTGCCACGAACCATTTCGAAACCGAGTCGACGAACTTTACGATTCTGGACGCCCCGGGGCATCGAGACTTTGTGCCCAATATGATTGCCGGTGCCAGTCAGGCTGATTTTGCCGTCTTGGTGATTGACGCCAGCACTGGAGCTTACGAAAAGGGGCTGAAGGGGCAGACGAAGGAGCATGTCCTGCTCCTCCGAAGCTTGGGCGTGCAGCGGATAGTCGTTGCCGTGAACAAGCTCGAGGCGGTCGGGTGGTCCCAGGACAGGTTCCAGGAGATATCAGAGGAAATCTCTGGCTTCTTGACTGGTCTAGGATTCCAAGAGAAGTCCATCATGTTCATCCCCATCTCGGGATTGAATGGAGACAACATCGTCAAGAGGTCAGAGGACGAGGCTTGCAGTTGGTATACAGGGCCTACTTTGATAGAGGGCCTAGAGGCCTCTGTGCCGTCCACCGTACGATCTTTGCAGAAGCCTTTCCGGATGGCGATTTCGGAGATTTTCCGCTCGCAGCAAGGCACCACCACACTTGCCGGTCGCATCGACTCCGGCACCATCCAGGTCGGCGATGCTCTGTTGGTGCAGCCCAGCGGGGAGTCGGCGCACATCAGGTCCATCATGCTCGATACCGAGGCCAAGGACTGGGCCGTTGCTGGTCAGAACGTGAGCATTGGCTTGACAGGCATTGATCCCGTTCACGTCAAGGTGGGAGACATTGTTTGCCACACAAAGGATCCCATCAACGTTGGCGATACGTTTACCATGAAGGCAATGGCGTTTGCCCATCTGATGCCCATGCCGGTAGATCTCCACCGTGGCAGGCTTCACGCAGCAGGCCAGATCCAGTCAATAGCGGCTCTACTGGACAAGGCCACGGGAGAGGTGACCAAGAAGAAGCCCAAGGTGGTGCAGCCGGGGTCGGTTGCTCGCATTTTGATCAAGCTGGACGCCAAGGTGCCTCTGGAAGCCGGACAGCGGGTTGTGATTCGGAGTGGGGGAGAGACCATCGCCGCTGGCTTGTTAGAGTAAGTGTATGAGTGCCGCAGGCAACTGTGGGATACTGGTATAGACTGGATGTATGGGGATTGGACGGGCCGTATAAAGAAATATACTAGTAGAATGGCTAGAATTGTTTGTATCAGTTCGAACGTTGATTCATAAAGTGCAATTTCGCTATGCTTTTGAGGCTGCCATGGGTCTGATTCCGTATTGCCAAATGAGGCAAGTGATTCGGTTATATCGAGGAATACCTAATGCATGACTCCGGCTTGGACATAGGTACGCGTATGCAATAGCTCGGTCTGAGTACCTACATCGTGGCAAGGCGACGCCTCACTAGCTACGTGTGCTTCATCAGGAGAGTGCAAACGCATCACTGCTTCGACTTGTTTCCTCCAGCACTGGTCAAGCTGGGGGGGCAATAAGGCGACGAGTTGAGTGGCATCGTGAGCCTTTCAGCCTTGCCGTGGCAAAGCGCCGATACGTGGCCCTTTGCCGCTGAACCAACCGGTACCCACCCGGCTACCGGTTATTGACAGCATGTAATCGTAGTCTGCCCCGTCCCTGACGGCTAGAACATCAACTACAAGTGTAAGCATAATCCTTTCGGGCAAATAAAGAAGACAACAACGTGTCCATAACGGTCTGTCGACAACACCAGCTTCCTTTTCCGTTTGCCACAAGTCATCAATATCGATACAGCTTCATGAGGGTCTATGAGTACTTGCTAAGAACCCTGTCACCAAGTCACCGCAGAGCAAATCTGCTCTTGTGAGATACCTTGGCTCTGAGTCACTGTCTGCTTGGAATAGCATCGCACCTTCTATCATGTTCCGTCACCCGCCCAGCGGCAAACGGGCAAATTTTAGTGCGGCGCAGAACGGAAGAGGCCACTTCTACGCTTCTCCACGCTTCTGCGCTCCTGGGGGGCCTGGCCTGGAGGGGCAAAACGGGGACGAATCGTGGCTTTTGCAAGCGGCTCCGGGTGAACGAGTTAGGTAGGTGTCTCTGTTCCTAGCGGGCGATTTGTCGGGCCAGTTCAGTCATGATGCCCTTTTTGACGGCTGTACGTCGTCCTCGGTAGTTGTTGACACTGTGGCTTGCGTGAACACTCAGTGAGTATGGACAGTGCCGGCCGTGCGAGATCGCCCAAAGGCAAGACCCCTGTCACGTGGGGCTGCGTGTTCCGGGGCCTTCCACTGCCTGCTGCTGTCCATCTGATCTCCAGCAGTCGCTAACAGACCTGAAATCTGGCCTTTTTGAGCCTTCTGGACACCTCAACTTTTTCTGGGGCGCTTCATAAAGTGGCCCATCGTCACCCTCTCGGCTTCAACTCGAGTTTTTTCCTTCTTCATTTTTCTTTTCTCTCCAACCAAAGATACCCCCTCAACCAGCCTGGTCCGAGGACACTTCTAGAGCTCGCTGCGTTGAATCGCTGCGCGTCTTCTGCTGTTCCCTTTTCCCTTTTCTTCCTTACCACAGCTTATAACTTTTGCGCGGGGCATCTGGTAGCCGCTTCTTCACCACATCTTCCCTTCCACAATGGCTCGTTCACGGAGCTCCCTGGCCCTTGGGCTGGGCCTGCTCTGCTGGATCACGCTGCTCTTCGCTCCTCTGGCGTTTGTCGGAAAGGCCAATGCCGCGAGCGACGATGCGGACAACTACGGCACTGTTATCGGAATTGTAAGTCGACGGCAGCAACCCCGCCATTGGTGTTGATCCGTGATCTTGCTAACACGTTTCTCCTCCGCCAGGATCTCGGAACTACCTACAGCTGCGTCGGTGTGATGCAGAAGGGCAAGGTTGAGATTCTCGTCAACGACCAGGGTAACCGAATCACTCCCTCCTACGTGGCCTTTACCGACGAGGAGCGTCTGGTTGGCGATTCCGCCAAGAACCAGGCCGCCGCCAACCCCACCAACACCATTTACGATGTCAAGTCAGTTCTGCCGCCCTTTGGCTTGTATAAACGGACCTTTGGCTAACTGTTCCGCAGGCGATTGATTGGCCGCAAGTTCGACGAGAAGGAGATCCAGGCCGACATCAAGCACTTCCCCTACAAGGTCATCGAGAAGAATGGCAAGCCCATTGTTCAGGTCCAGGTCAACGGCGAGAAGAAGCAGTTCACTCCTGAGGAGATTTCTGCCATGATTCTCGGCAAGATGAAGGAGGTCGCCGAGTCCTACCTGGGCAAGAAGGTCACCCACGCCGTCGTCACTGTCCCTGCCTACTTCAACGTAAGTCTCTTGCTGAATATTCTCCAAGAGTAAAAGAGTCATTTTGCTAACAGCCCAATAGGACAACCAGCGACAGGCCACCAAGGACGCCGGTACCATTGCCGGCTTGAACGTTCTCCGAATCGTCAACGAGCCCACCGCCGCCGCTATCGCCTATGGTCTGGACAAGACCGACGGTGAGCGCCAGATCATTGTCTACGATCTCGGTGGTGGTACCTTTGATGTCTCTCTCCTGTCCATTGACAACGGCGTCTTCGAGGTCTTGGCTACCGCCGGTGACACCCACCTTGGTGGTGAGGACTTTGACCAGCGCATCATCAACTACCTGGCCAAGGCCTACAACAAGAAGAACAACGTCGACATCTCCAAGGACCTCAAGGCCATGGGCAAGCTGAAGCGTGAAGCCGAAAAGGCCAAGCGTACCCTCTCTTCCCAGATGAGCACCCGTATCGAGATCGAGGCCTTCTTCGAGGGCAACGACTTCTCCGAGACCCTCACCCGGGCCAAGTTCGAGGAGCTCAACATGGACCTCTTCAAGAAGACCCTCAAGCCTGTTGAGCAGGTTCTCAAGGACGCCAACGTCAAGAAGAGCGAGGTCGACGACATCGTTCTGGTCGGCGGTTCCACTCGTATCCCCAAGGTTCAGTCGCTGATTGAGGAGTACTTCAACGGCAAGAAGGCTTCCAAGGGTATCAACCCCGACGAGGCTGTTGCTTTCGGTGCCGCCGTCCAGGCCGGTGTTCTCTCTGGTGAGGAAGGTACTGACGACATTGTTCTCATGGACGTCAACCCCCTGACTCTCGGTATCGAGACCACTGGCGGAGTCATGACCAAGCTCATCCCCCGCAACACTCCCATCCCCACCCGCAAGAGCCAGATCTTCTCGACTGCTGCCGATAACCAGCCCGTCGTCCTGATTCAGGTCTTCGAGGGTGAGCGTTCCATGACCAAGGACAACAACATCCTGGGCAAGTTCGAGCTTACCGGCATTCCCCCTGCTCCCCGCGGTGTTCCCCAGATTGAGGTTTCCTTCGAGTTGGATGCCAACGGTATCCTCAAGGTCTCTGCTCACGACAAGGGCACCGGCAAGCAGGAGTCCATCACCATCACCAACGACAAGGGCCGTCTCACCCAGGAGGAGATTGACCGCATGGTTGCCGAGGCCGAGAAGTTCGCCGAGGAGGACAAGGCTACCCGTGAGCGCATTGAGGCCCGTAACGGTCTTGAGAACTACGCTTTCAGCCTGAAGAACCAGGTCAACGACGAGGATGGTCTTGGTGGCAAGATTGACGAGGAGGACAAGGAGACTGTAAGTTGAACCGATTCCGTCACCTGCTCTCTGATGAGGACATGATCACTAACATTCGTCCAGATTCTTGACGCTGTCAAGGAGGCTACCGAGTGGCTCGAGGAGAACGGCGCCGACGCCACCACCGAGGACTTTGAGGAGCAGAAGGAGAAGCTGTCCAACGTCGCCTACCCCATCACTTCCAAGATGTACCAGGGTGCTGGTGGCTCCGAGGACGATGGTGACTTCCACGACGAACTGTAAAAAATTAAAAAAGGGAAAAAATTGATGCATAGATATCTAAGGTATTCTTAGAGGAACCAAAGAAGTTCCCAGGTGTTATCGTCGGTTACGACGCGGATGTGTTTTTTTAGTCTTGTAAAATTCGAATGCAGCTCTGAGTGTGCGGTAGATGCATAATTGAATCTTGCTCTCAAGGCCAATCCGATGTCCTATCATATGTGCAATGCTGATGTATTCGTTACCACATGTTCCTTGACTTGGCGTTTACTCGAGTTGACTTGGAGTTTCATATGAGGCTTTCTTGGGGACTATCGTGAAGCTGCCATGCTCCCCCTGTGATTCTTCGAAGCCCCGGGCATACACATCATCAGTTCCTGTGCCCGCTTAAATTGCCACGATAAAAACCCAACTCATATCAGCAAACATCGACACAAGACAAAACGTCCACCTACCCATCTACTGAGTCCAAATTCATCGACCAGCGTATAGGGACCATGCGCTTCCAGTCTTGATATCTACAAGTTACGCGGATTCCGATCACGACACAAGTTGCCATCCTGTCCATGTCTTTTAAACAGCCAGGTGTCTCGCAAGCTGGGAAGTAGCTCGTTATTCGCAAGCTGTCAAGTCAAGCCAATGAATGCTCGTTGCAGCTACATCAAATCAAAACCAAACAATGAGTCCGTGCTGTGTTTTTTTGTTTTTGGCGTCTGACAGCTGGCAGAGGAAAAGTGAATGCCACTCTGTGTGCACAGGTGGAAGAGAGGAGAGGAGAGGAGAGGAGATTTAGCACGTGAGCTTTCAGGAGGCACATTCACTTGAACCTTTGCATTTGATGATTCTTTCTTACGAGAACGACGCCAAACCAATTCTTGCCTTTTTTCCAATCTTGTGTCGTTCCAACCGTCGAAAAAGGTTGCATGTTCACTGGGAGGACAGAAATCCATGGCTGACGGCTTCCGCTCTCCTAAGCTGGGTGATGCTGCGATGGAGTCGGATCCGCTGGGGGCATTTGAGGATATGCTTTTGCAGGCGATTGAGAAGACAAAAGAGAAAGAAAGTGGTGTGATTCGCACGGACGCTGCTACAGACGCCATGGAAGATGTCACGCCGAGCAATAGTTTGCCTTCAGCTGCGGCAGAGATGGCCGCTCCCCAGGCGGTAGGTTGCACGTCCTGCTTCTTCTCATCCTTACCTTATCTTGTGCGATCGTATTTCCTGAGATGAATTCTGATTCGAAGCTGCGCTCCTGCAGGTCAGTCAGGACGAAAGCGTGACCTTACCAGAGGAGTCTCTCAGCGTGCCTCGGGACTCGACCTGCGAGCCTCAACACTCCATTCATGAGCTTCAAGACTCTATCTGCGAGCCTCAAGGCTCACTGTTTGTCGACGGCGCCGACACCATGGAAATGGATATCCCTCTCGCGCCTCGCCCTGTCATCAAACTCAAGCGCAAGAGAGCGCCCGTCGCCCCAATGGTCCCCAACGAGCACGCCGCAGCCCAAGGGGACGACGAAGAAGGACAAACCCCAGAGGACATCGTCGCCGCCCTCCACGCCCTGATCAGGAACGCAGACGACCCGGACGACTTCCTCGCCAAACAAGTCGACATCACCGCCCTCGTCCTCCGCCTCAAGCACCTCCAGGACCGCCAGCCCCCCAGAGTGTCCTTTTCGCCCGCCGTGGCAGCGTCGCGCCGCACGCGCCTCGAAGCAGCGCTCGAGCTCCTCCTCGCAGACACCTGCGCCATTCCGCCCCTGAAGTGGGCGGCTTACCGAAGAAGGCTCGTCAAGTTCAGCGAGAGCGAGACCGTGTCCGAAATGTCCTTTGCGCAGCGTCTCTGCAAGGTCACTGAGATTGTCTACATGCCTGAGGAGCTGGACGCGCTTTCGAAAGAGGACTTTAAGAGGCTGCAGGGCGTGGTGAGGATCTGCGCTACGGCGGCGCAGGCGTTGACCGTGGAGGGGGAGGAGAGCATGGATGGGCTGGGGGAGAGGTGGGTGCAGGCCAAGGCGAGGGATCTGGAGTTTTTCAGGACAATGTTTGCTTCCGTGAGGGGCACGTTCAAGGCCTCTGTGGGGGAGGGGGAGGATGTTGAGATGCCGTGGGAGAGGAAGAGTGAGCCTCAGGGTGGTGCTGGTCAGTGAGCCTGATCTACCAGGTCCATCTTTGGCTGCGTTTGGTGATGTTCTTACAGGTAGAACGGTTCTTCGAGGACATGACTGAGATGATTTAGCAAAGATCAATCCATAGGAAAACACTGCAAACTGCCTCCATCGTCAAGTGTCCATCGTCGTCGTCGTCCGTTCTCATGATGCAGGTTACATGTTGGCCTTGTAAAGCATCACGTGATAGCGCGGAACCCGTTCGTATCCAAAGACGCGCTTCTCGCGACATTGTATGACGCCATAGATCCAACACTTGACAAAGGGCGTTGGGACCATAAAGACATACAGCTGTTGTTCTTTCTTATCCCCATTCCTATCATATCTTGGTCATTGATCTTCCAAAAGAGTATTCCAAGCTTTGGAGCGTCTCGCCATGCCTGTTTCCAAACGATCTGCTCCCAAAGGGGAGGCAGCCGGTACGCGCCGGCGCTCCGGCCGCTTATCAAGCACGCAAGTGAAGAGCAGCTATTTCGAAGGCTCCAGTGACGAAACCGAAGAACGAGCATCGTCAACACTGTCGGGACGCAAGAATGGTGCAAGTCTGCCAAAGAAAAGGGCGAGATATGCGGAAAGCGAATCCGACCAAGAGCAATACAGGGACGAGTCTGAAGAGGAATCGGCGCAGGTACAGCCGAAGAAGAGATCACGGGGGCGCCCTCCGAAAAAGGCCAAGGAGGAATCTGATGAGGAAGATCAGTACAATGATGCTCCTGACGGTGAAGTTGGCAAGGATGATGAGGATGAGGATGACGATGACGATGATGAAGATGGCCCTAGAAGAGTCGAAATCATTCCCTTGGAAAAGCTACGGGATACGGGAGGCGTAGCATACGAGGACCACAAAGTACACAAGAACACGATGCTGTTTCTACGTGACCTGAAGGCGAACAACAAGCGGCCGTGGCTTAAATGTACGTTCAATCTCATTGCGACACACTCCACAGTTCACCAGCATCCCTCAAACTGACTCAAGATTCCGATACCAGCACATGACGGAGAATACAGAAGAGCCCTCAAAGACTGGCAGTCCTTTGTCGAAGCAACAACACAAACCCTCATCGAAGTCGACGACACCATCCCAGAGCTACCCGCCAAGGACGTCATCTTTCGCATCCACCGCGACATCCGCTTCAGCAAAGACCCGACCCCCTATAAGGTACTCTCACCCCCCCTTTTCTCCCCCTCGTCTCCTCCTCCCTCATCATCCCCCACTCCCGCAGAAGCAATGTCCATCTCGACTAACGGCTGGTTCGTCTCGCAGCCTCACTTCTCCGCCGCCTGGTCCCGCACAGGCCGCAAGGGCCCGTACGCAGTCTACTACATCCACTGCGAGCCCAAGCGCAGCTTCATCGGCGGCGGCCTCTGGCACCCCGAGGCGGCGCACATCGCCAAGCTCCGCCAGAGCATCGACGAGCGGCCCCGGCGCTGGCGAAGGGCAATGGGCGACCCGCTCTTCAGGAAGACGTTTTTTCCAGCGCTGGAGAAGAAGGGGGTGGAGGATGTGGTCAAGGCCTTCGTCGGGAGAAATCAGGAGAATGCGCTGAAGAAGAGGCCGATGGTATGTTTGGCTTTTGACTTTTTGCCCCTCCTTTTCAGGCCTTTATATCCTGCTTGAGAGATGCCTTATGCGACTCCGTATCTGTTCGTTTTGAGAAATGATGGGCTGATTGTTGGGATAAATGTGTCAGGGCTACGAAGTCACACACCGCGATATCGAACTCCTCAAACTCCGAAACTTCACCATCATGAAAAATCTCGACGACGAAGTGCTATGCGGCGACAACGCACAAACGAAACTCAAGGACATTCTAAGCGGTTTGTCCGGATTCGTATGTCTTTTCATTCATCCCCCCCCCTCCCCCCCTTTTCCGCTTTTCTCTTTTCAGCTTTTCCCCTTCATTCCATCATATTGAGTCATCGTTTCGGAGCGCCCTTCGAATCCCATGCTGACTGCGACGCATCAGGTCACTTTTCTTAACAGCATTGTTATGCCGGATCCGAATCTCGACGACGATGAGAGCGATGATGAGGATGGCCAGGAGGGCGAGGAGGAGCATGCTGGTGAAGCGGCGGAAGACGATGAAGACGATGAGTAGTAGATGCTGCGGCGCTGCGAGTTTTTGGATAAGTCGGTGGGCAAAAGCATGGTATCAGACTTGTCCAATACCAATGCAAGGATGACGGGGGACAATCATATATGAGGGAAGGCAATAGGATCAGGCGCTTCCCAGTCCGACGGGCTTACGCGTTTTTTGGAAAGCAGGCAAGTTCAAACAAGGAAGAAAACAGTTCACTTATCTCCGTCAAAAGTACGATCCCCCGTCATGTGCTTCCCAAGAGAGCAGTCAAAAAAACCCCGAAGGGCGACACCAGCAGCGTCATCGGTTACACACCTCCGAAAGCGAGCGCCATCTGATAACGAGCTCACCAAGCAGAAAAGAGTCGGACAACAAATGAGCCCACCCACCTTATATACAGGTAAGGTGGGCAAGTAAGCAAGCTCTAGTACTACCTTACTGTACTGCACAACAAAGAATAGTCGCCGACAGGACCGGCAAAACGGGCCGTATTATCACCCACCTCTCAAGGGGATGGGGGGTTAGCCGGTATTTATTAGCTCCAAAGAGAGGTGTGGTTGTTACCAAATCCCTTCCCCCTCCCCCCGCTTCCCCAAGATCGATCGCGTGGGCCCTCCACATCTCCGGTTCATCTGTGAAGTGTCATCGCTTCTGAGAGTGAGAAAGAATTGGTGGTGTGTTAATCATTATCAGCCGCCAACGTACGAAGCCACCGAGTAGCTGGAGGCGTATTCACCATTCATCCACAGCTTGAGCTGGTGTTCCGTGGGGGATATGCCAACAGATACCTGGGTAGTAACCAAATCGCACGACATTAACGAAGCAATAACGGTTGTCTCTCGATTCGTCCGTCGTTCCTGGATGGCTGAAATCGTCATCACGAAAAAAAGGTCTGACCGTTGTCCAGCCACAGCCCACGCGAAGCCGTCCCAAGGCACAAGATTGGGGGAAACGCTCCCAATCTGTTAGTGGTGTAAATGACTGTGCGCGTGGCGGCGTCCAAACACAGAAACACGATATGGCCACCAAGTTCGACACACCAACGCTTACTGAGGGGTTGCACTGTGGCACAAACGTCATATAAGATGCAGCCGACTTCCTTCTCTTCGTGTGATGCGAGGAGCCGGTTGTTGGAGCTCGATTTGTGTTTCATCTACCCCTTTCATCAGCCTGCTGCAATCGCTTACACTTACTTTCGGAGCTGGTATTGCCTGCTTATACAATATACATGCATGTGCTGCTGTTTGGTAGTTGAGTTCGTCACTTTTTGGATCTACTCGTTTCCTTGACCATAAGAATTAAGAGAAGAATATGACCCCCATCGCAACGAGCAATGGCGCCGCCAGAGAAGCTTCTGGTGGCCGGCCTCGTATCCTCATCCCGGAAAAGGTATCGCCGGATGGCCTGGCAATGCTGAAACCGCACTTTGACGTCGACGTCAGGCTGGGCATGACTCCCGAAGAACTCATTTCGCAGATCCCGGGGTACCATGGCCTGATTGTCCAGTCCGAGACCAAGATAACAGAAGGGGTCCTGGCTGCTGGCAAAAAGCTTCGAGTGGTAGCAAGGGCAGGCGTTGGCGTTGACAATATCAACGTACCAGAGGCGACCTCGCGAGGCATCATTGTCGTCAATTCGCCCTCGGGGAACATTCTCGCCGCAGCAGAGCACACCATCGCCTTGCTCCTGGCCACTGCTAGGAACATTGGCAGGGCAGACGGAAGCTTGAAGCAGGGGGGCTGGGAACGGAGCAAGCTCGTCGGCATCGAGGTGGGACGAAAGGTCCTGGGCATCGTGGGGCTGGGCAAGGTGGGCATGAACGTGGCACGCATGGCGAAAGGCCTCGGCATGCAGGTCATGGCTGTCGACCCGTATGCGAATCCGGACATGGCACGCCAGGCAGGTGTTGACCTAGCATCCAGCTTGCACGAGATCCTCCCCATCGTGGACTTTCTCACCATCCATACGCCGCTGCTCGCAACCACTCTTGATCTCGTTGGTCAGGAAGAGTTCAAGCTAATGAAAAAGACAGCCCGAGTCCTCAACGTCGCCAGGGGAGGGGTCTATAACGAAGCAGCGTTGCTCAAAGCTCTCGATGAAGGATGGATTGCTGGAGCTGGAATCGACGTCTTCACTTCAGAGCCCCCAGCAGCAGACTCGGCAGCTGGTCTGATAGCCAAGCATCCCAAAGTGGTGGCCACACCTCACCTGGGAGCCTCCACCATTGAGGCGCAGGAAAACGTATCAATCGATGTGTGCACGCAGGTGCTCGAGATCCTGCGAGGCGGCCTTCCCACCAGCGCCGTCAACGCCCCCATCATTCTGCCCGAGGAGTATCGCAAACTCCAGCCCTTTGTGCAGCTGATTGAGAAGATGGGCCGTCTCTACATGCAGCATTTCGTCAGGTCCAAAGGAGGCCTCGTCGGCGGACGCACCTTTGAACTGGTCTACCACGGCGACCTGGCGGGCATGCCCAACACGAAGCCGCTATATGCAGCATTGGTCAAGGGGCTGGTCGCCTCGTTCAGCGAGACGCACGTCAACATTGTCAACGCTGCCTTGATTGCCAAGGAGAAGGGCATCAAGATAAGCGAGACGCACTCGCACCAGCCGGGCGAACAGACGTACGCGAACCTGGTGACGCTCAGAGCGCATGCAGACGACGGCAGCGGCCAGCAGACGATTGAGGGATACGCATCGGGCAAGCGGCTGTACATCTCCAAGCTGGACCGCTTCAGCGCCACGTTCAGCCCCGAGGGCACCATGATCATCCTGCACAACTATGACGAGCCGGGCAAGATTGGAGGCGTCGGCATGGTGCTGGGCTCCCACGGGATCAACATCCGGTTCATGCAGGTGGCCAGCCTGGACCCGGAGCTGAAGGGGGCTGAAGCAGGTGCTGTGAAGGAAAACGAAGCTCTGATGATTCTGGGGATTGACCGGCCGGTCGATGAGAAGGTGATGGAGGGACTGCGCAAGTCTGAGGGCGTGTTGGACGTGGTGCTGGTGCAGCTGTAGGAGGATGGAAGAGGCAGGGGAAGAGGAAGAGAACATTGAAGTGTCTGAGTCGAAGACAAGTTGCAAGGTGCAGATGGCTCTTGTCGATTACTTGTATGCTGCTGTACATGGACTGACAGCGGCTTCAGCTCCTGCTTGGCGTTGCATGGTCCTTTGAAGCGATGACTTGACTTTGAGACTTCGCAGTCTATCGGCCCTTCTGATATCTAATGAGACTTCCAGTAGATGGCTCAAGTAAAAGAAGCAGAGCCAATATACATGTACCGTCAACATCTCGTCCACTTACAGACCGTCCACCGTCTGGACTCTGACCCAGGCCTGCTGCGCTGCCGTACTGCCGAGCGTGGGGCCGCTTTTGGCGCGTGCAGGAACCAGGCCTGGCGTCATAGCGCACGTCCCGCTAGATTTACACCGAGGCCGCTAAACCTCCAGCGGCCCACAGGGCTCGAGCACCCCATGCTTTAGGGCCTTCAGAAGCTCCAGCTTCCCTGCCGGGCCTAAGCTCCGAGCCGAAGAGCAGTGACGAGCGCTTTTCACCTTCGTGCTTTGTCATTGACGTCGAGGTGAACCTGCGAAGCCTCAACCCTCGACCGGTACAGCTGCAGCATCTTGAGTTTGCGCAGGGATTGAACCCTCCAGGCGTCGACTGGCCCTAGCCGCCCTATCTGCGCTTCTTCCTCAAATCTTCTTTTGCTTCGACTTCTTCCTCTGTCCCCCATCAACCGCCAATCTCCTTCCCCCCTTCGACGACGTCAACTCGCGTCTAGCGAAATCCGGCGCCACGGCAATCAGCCTGCGACCGTCAGCAGCCAAATCGACTGCGGGTCTTCCTTCTCTCGACGATCCGACGTGCCAGCTCCATCCCCGGCATTGGCGGACAGACGACGGCCTCGATCGCACCATCATCGACAATCCAAACACACGGTCCTGCTATGCCGAGCAGAGGCGCAAGCGGAGGACTCGCCAGCTTCCGCCCGGCCGTCCTGGGCCTGGGGCGAGTGCTGGGCCTCTGCTTGACGGCGGTCTCTGCGGCGCCCGTGTCGCAAGAGGCCAACCATCATGAACCGCGAACAAACACCCCCGTGTGGGTGCTGGCCGTGTCATCGATGACGCTGGTCCTGCTGGGCGGTGCCTTTGCCGGCCTGACCATCGCGTGCGTGTACCTCCGTATTGGGGCAATTGTGAGGCGACCAACTGACACTCCTCCAGACTGATGGGCCAGGACTCCATCTACCTCCAGGTCCTGTCGGGCGATGCCACCGAGCCGCAACACAAGAACGCGAAGCGAGTTCTCAAGCTGCTCAACCGAGGAAAGCATTGGGTGCTCGTGACCCTGCTGCTCGCAAACGTCATCGTTAACGAATCGCTTCCCGTCGTGCTGGACCGCTTCCTAGGCGGCGGCGTTGCCGCCGTCGTCGGTAGTACGATTCTTATCGGTGAGTGCTCCTGGAACTGTTTGCTTGCTTTTCCGTTGCCTCGTGTGTTCCGGCACTAACCTTGGTCACAAGTCATCTTTGGCGAAATCGTGCCCCAATCAGTGTGCGTGCGATATGGCCTCCCGATTGGCGGGTACATGTCCACGCCCGTCTTGATCCTCATGTATCTCTTGGGCCCAGTGGCCTGGCCGACTGCGAAGCTCCTCGACTGGATCCTCGGAGAGGATCACGGTACGGTGTACAAGAAGAGCGGCCTCAAGACGCTCGTGACGCTGCACAAGTCGCTCGGCGAAGTGTCGGAACGGCTGAACCAGGATGAGGTCACCATCATCACTGCCGTCCTGGATCTCAAGGACAAGCCTGTATCGGAAGTCATGACGCCCATGGACGATGTCTTCACCCTGGCCGAGGACCACATCCTGGATGAGGCTACCATGGACACCATCCTCTCTTCCGGATACTCGAGGATCCCCGTCTACCGCTCCGGCAACCCGACCGATTTCATAGGTATGCTCCTCGTCAAGACGCTCATTACTTACGATCCCGAGGACCGCATCCCGGTCCGAGATGTGCAGTTGGGAGCTGTTGTAGAAACGCGGCCCGAGACAAGCTGCTTGGACATTATCAACTTTTTCCAGGAGGGCAAGTCCCACATGGTGCTGGTCTCTGAGTTTCCCGGCTCCGACCACGGTGCTCTTGGCGTCGTGACGCTCGAGGATGTCATTGAAGAGCTCATCGGAGAGTGAGTAGTCCTTGACCAAACACTTTCAGCTGACACCTTGGTTACTAATGCGAGACACCCATAGGGAAATTGTTGACGAATCGGATGTCTACGTCGACGTACACAAGGCCATCCGGCGTCTGACCCCAGCTCCACGAGCTCATCGCAGGCACAGTGACGCGCCGGGTGCAGGTGTGGCGGTTAGGAAGACGCCAGACCATGTTGGCGGCCAGCAAAAGCCTTCGGACGGTCAGGAAGTCGAGGTCGGCTCCTTGAAGAGCGACTCGGGCCACTTTGAGCGCCCTCCCAGGACCGCCGTGTTCATGAAGCGCCAACACTCGGCGGACGGCCGCGTCGGAAAGAATGTGCCCGTCAAAGCATCGCTGGACGAGATGCGGCAGCAACTGCGACTGGGACCCGCGAACCGCGCGGCGAAGCCGCTGAGCAGCACGCGCGGAAGCGTGTTCAAGATCAAGCAGGGCCTGGGGACGGTGGTGACGACAACAACACCAGACGCAAAACCGGTGAATGGCAATGGCAACGGCAGCTCGGAGGGTGCAGACGGGCCGAGCGAACACACCGAAACCACGCCATTGCTGGGAAAGGGTCAGAATGGCGCAAGTTAGCGATGGCGACTCGAACGATTGGCTTCAAGTGTGCGCGAGATCAGGGGAGCATGGGGGAAGAAGTAGCTGTTGATGGGACGTTGACCGAGGGCGGAATACCGAAAAGACGGAAAGGAAAAGGACAAAATAACAAAGGAGTCTTGGTAACAAAAGTGTTGTCATTACTTCGTACTATATCTATCCTGTGCGTTATCAGCGTTTGAAGGGCTCTGGAAATGCTCCAGGCTGCCGAGCATACGGCCCAGTTGTTGTTCAAATACCATTTCACCGTTTACAGTGCTCAAAGTTGCTTTTTCATCTGCGGTCTATATATTCTACGTCTTTCCCTTTTTACCCCCTTCTCGTTGTTGTCTAATCATACCAGATGGCATTCATGCCGAATCCCGGCTCCGGAACACGCACCCTCGCCACACGCGCCAGGAACTCGTCCTGCCACCGATACACCTCGAGCCACCCCTCCTGATCGTCCGTAATGGCAAGCCACTCGTCGGACCAGTCGCACGGCGCGACAGCATTGCTGTGCCCGCCACTGGTAGGCGTAGGGTTGAGGCAGATCTGGCGCTCGATGGCGCCGCACTCGGCCAGCCGGAAGGCGGCGACGTAGCCGGTGAGGTCGAAGCTGTTTGCGCGGGACGAGGCGAAGAGGTAGCGGCCGGAGCAGGAGAGGGCGCAGACGTCGGCTCGGTACTGGGTCCAGCGGTCGGGGACGCCGGGCGGGATGAGCGGGTAGTGGCGGTGGGTGAAGACGGGCATGCGGGAGGCCGGGTCGATGAGGTACTCGCAGAGGCGGTTGCCCTTTTCCATGAGGGCGTAGAGGTAGTTGCCCGAGGGGTGGATGGCGACCCAGCGGGGGTGGTCGCGCGGGTCGGGGCAGTCGACGGAGCCGACGAGCTCGAGGTCCGGCGGGGAGGAGGAGGAGGAGGAGGAGGAGGAGGTCGGGTTCTTCTTCTTGTGGACCCAGAGCTTGTTGGCGGAGAGGTCGGCGGAGTAGAGGTAGGTTTCGGTGGGGTCAAAGACCATGCCGTGGATGCCGCTGTCGGGCTGGTACTCGTAGTTTTGGACGTTGGAGGCGAGGGCGCCGGAGGAGGGGTCGACGGTGAAGACGGAGCCGTGGCCGGCGTGGGTGTAGAAGGGGTTGCAGTAGACTGCGTAGGGGGGCTTGCGGGCGGGCAGGAGGAAGATGGCGCGGGTATTTGTCGAGGGGGATGCTGCGAGGGCTTGTTCATGATGCGGGTTAGAAGGGTGGTGGTTTCGACGTGATGGGGCGTTGAGAGATGGGGTATGAAGAACGTACGGTGGTGAAGCATGGGATGGGAGACTTGGTGGACAATGTCGGTGGGCGAGTTGACCTTGAAGCTGGACCACTTCTTCATGGCAGCGCCGTAGATTGCTTTCTTCTCATGCTATACGCAGTTATGTCCCTTCCGATCAGCAAAGATGTCAAGAAGTTGGGAAGGGGCTGGGTGTGTGTGTGTGTGTGTGTGTGTGTGTGTGTGTTTCACTTACATCAAACGCCATCCATGAGATGGGTTCATCGTGAGGAATCTCGGTGCGGGCGACGAGCTTGAGCGTGAGAGCCTCGTCGTCGAACGCGAAAGTGAAGATTGCGCCTGGAGGCGTCCAGGTGCCGACCATGAGATGATGGACCGGCATCTTTTTTCCTCAAAACCCAAAGGGTTATATGTTGTTCCTTGATTCCAAGCGAGGTGGTGACGAGATGGAAGTGTTGGTGGTATGGGAGAATAAGCGATTCGGAGGTTCGACCGCCCCGTTTGACAGTTCTGCTACAAAGCCATCATACGATCAAAAGATGAAATAAGAAACCAAAGAGTAAAGTGAAAAAAAAAAAAAAGAAAACTATTTTGCATGTGCGCAAATGACGTTTGCAGGTCAAAGGGGAATGGCAAAGCGGTAATTCGTCAGGATATTCTTTTACCCCCCTGCATGGGCATCCCAATTTGCGCCATCCCGCGATGTTCATCCCGAAGCTAATGCCGGCCGGCCGCCTCCAACCCTCAACATACGATACTGCCCCCCACCCGCTCCCCAGCTTCATCTACCGTTGGCCTGCCATAATGTGTAATCCCGCAAAGGAAACGGGGTGACAATCCGGCATGGGGCCATGCATTAAGCAAAGATTCCAGCTTACACAGATATTACATACAATTGCGCTCAAGCTTGCAGATTACACATGGCAACTCGCGAGCGCATTGGGGACATGCTCTATGAGCCATCGGGATCTTTGCCGCTCATGAGATCCGGAAACCCTTGAGACAAAGAATTCGCGGGGCAAGCGAGCAAAGCGAGCATGACTGGAGAGACTGTGGGGAAATGGGCGCTAAAGGAGGAGGGGAGAAGGGACCAAGTGAGGGGCTTTTGCCGCCGGTTTGTAGGTTCGGTAATTGGAGGCTGAACGTGGGATGGCAGGGCGGGTAGTTAGAGGGGGATCCGGGGAGTTAATGGCCTTTGTGCTGCGTGTTGGATTCATGGCTGTGGTGAGAAGTAGGAGATGGAGGGAATCTGAGACAGAAGAACCATCAAGTCATCGAGGTGAAGGATCAGTGAATTGGAAAGTGAATGTGCTGTAGTTGAGTAGTACAGCACATGCCGTGATGGACATGCCATCTGATGTGCCTTCATGTTGGCCAAGCGTCAACTCGGCATCCATATCTACATGTACATGTATGTAACAACACACAAAAGACCCCCAGCCAGAATGCAACTCCGGCGCGGCACTCCCGGCCTATTCGCACCAGTCCCGACATCAGCTCCCGGACCCCGTTTCCGTGGTCTTCCTCATTCCCAGTAAGAAATCGTGCGTTTGTCAAAGCTCCACCAACCACGAGGCCTAATTCCCGTCGAGGGGGTGGCGCTCTTTTGGAGCTGACTGACGGAACGGGGGGGCAAGGGCATCGAGAGTCTTTATCCGTACTTGTGCGTGTGAGTTGTGTGAGTGTGTGTTGTATACAGCTAATGGATGCTTGGTGGGCATGTGAAGGTGGGTTGTAGCGTAGTAGTAGAACGATTAGTAGTACTAGATGTTTCTCTCGTGTTGGATTATATATATCTCGACCATGCCGTCGATTTGCATTCTCCTGTCGTTGATACTCACACCTCTTGCTTCAGTATAGCACACTTGATAACCTCAAGTCTTGGATCTTCAAACCAGATATACCCCATTTTGACTCCATCATATTAGATACCTCCCTTGACCTCACTTCACCCAACCTCATCCCCTACTTGACGCCTGTACTCCATCATCACACAACATACAACAACAACAAGATGGCCTCCAACGGCGTCGTCAACAGCACAAATGGCACCACCACCGCCGCCACCAAGAACGGCCAGAACAGCCGCTTCGACCCGACCTTTACGCAGCGCGTCATCGACACCATGGGCCCCAACATGACGCCGCGCAACCGGCAGGTCATGAGCGCCCTGGTGCGGCACCTGCACGACTTTGCGCGCGAGGTCGAGCTGACGCCCGACGAGTGGATGACGGGCGTGCACTTTATCAACGCCGTGGGCCAGATCTCGAACAAGACGCGCAACGAGGCGCACCGGGTGTCTGATGTGCTGGGTCTGGAGTCGTATGTCTCTCTCCCCCTTTTTTGCCCTCTTGTGACATGACATCACCCCCCTCTGTCTTATACTCTGCTTTCTACTCTGCGAATTCAGCCAGCTAACTCCACCATCAGCCTCGTCGACGAAATCGCCAACAAAATCGTGGCCGAGGGCGACGTCGACCCGACCTCGTCCTCCATCCTCGGCCCCTTCTGGTCGCCCAACGCCCCCTTCCGCGACAACGGCGCGTCCATCATCCAGGACCCGGCGCCGGGCGGCCGCGTCGCCCTCATGCACGGCACCATCACCGACCTCGTCACCGGCAAGCCCATCCCCGGCGCCGTCTTCGACATCTGGCAGGCCAGCGCCAACGGCAAGTACGACTTCCAGGACCCGGACAACCAGTCGCCCAACAACCTGCGCGGCAAGTTCCGCGCCGACGACAACGGGCAGTACTGGTTCTACTGCTACCACCCGACGGCGTACTCGCTGCCCACCGACGGGCCGGCGTACCAGCTGCTCTCGCTCATGGACAGGCATCCGATGCGGCCTGCGCACATCCACATCATGGTCACGCACCCCGAGTACAAGGGCGTCACCACGCAGCTGTATCCCAAGGACGACCCGTGGCTGGCCACCGACACCGTCTTCGCCGTCAAGAACGACCTCATCATCGACTTCAAGCCGCGCGAGGGCGACCCCAAGGCCGAGCTGGACCTCGAGTACAATGTCATCCTGGCGCCCAAGGGCTACAAGGGCAAGCAGTTTTCATAAAGGGGCAACGGCGATGATTTTGTTTGGTTGGAACTTGGGCTGTATGTATGAAAGGATGCGTATAATGGGAATTGCTCTCTTTTCCAGCTGCAATTTGTATAATGAAGAGCTTGCATGTTATGATTGCCTACCTAGGAGAAAAATGTCAGTGTTAACCTACAATTGAGGGTTTATTATACATAGAATGCATGCAACGTACGTCTTCTTCCTTTATCTCGACGACTAGGGGTTCGATCCTTTTTAGTCCTAATCTCACGTAGCCAGACTTCTTCAGCGGATTCCCCTTGAATGCATGCAGACTGCATCATGTATGTGTCCCGTACCGCTGTGTGATATGTGACGACGACCAGAACACGCAAGCCAGTACACATGGCGAACAAGGGCTTCTAGGAATCGAATTCTCGTCTACTTTTCCCCCCTCGATTCTCTTACAGCTCCCCGATTTCAATCCATTGACCCTTTGTTCTTTTCCCCCATCGATTATCCTGCCACTTCTCCAGCTACTAATCCACTTGCTTCAATCTCTCTTTTTTCCATCCACAGCTCAACACTCAACTGCCCCCCTCTCACCCCTGCTGAATTCCTGCATGATATATCACACGTGCGCGCATACTTCATACCTACCGTACGTCCTCAGCTCCTTGACTCAGGCATTCGTAATAGTACATACACCGGCCAAGCTGCACGGGCGCATCCCCCTCAACGCTCTTATTATCTCTCTCTCTCTCTCATGGCATGCTTTATCCTACAGAAGAAAGAATACACGAAGCTATCTACAAATAAGCCCCCATTCCCTCCCCTAACCTAAATCCAAAAGCCCAATTGGCCTTGTCAGTCCCTGCCCCTTCTTCGCCTCGCCGGTGACGCTTCCTCCTGCACGCCACCTCACAAAAAAGACAGGCCCATCGCCCAATGGCCTCAGCTCGTGTAAACGCCCAGATGGGCACACGCACACACACACACACCCAGCCTCCTCCATGCGCAGGGTGACGAAAGAAAAGAGAAAATGTAGAGCAGCAAGCAGCCATGCCGTTCCCAATCTCGTCACAACCGCCTCTTCCTTTTTCTTCTCTTCTTTCGACGCCCTTCTCTTTGTCTCCCCCCCTCCCCTCTCCTCTTTGAACCTGGACTCTGCTTGACGGGCAGCAGGGATGGTCTCCAGTCCCAGCCTCTTTCTTCTCGCTCCAGCCTCTCTCTATTCGTACCTGACAGGACCTTGCGCTTCCATGTCAGTCAGTCAGTAATATGTACATCATGCCTTGCGGACAGATTACAGCACAGCACAGCACAGCGCGGCGCGGCGCAAACAGGCGGTAGGGCGAGGCCGATGTACATGTACGTGCCACACACCGCATCATCCGACTGGCCCATCGGCACATGTCAGTCAGACCAAACAGTCATGTCCAACGAGAGAGAAGAAGGAAAAAGACCTCATTCCAGACAGTTCACGTCTGTATCCCCCCCCTCTTTGTCACTTTTTGCTGCTTCCCCAGAAAAACCCGGCAATTCCTGCTGGCACTGCATGTCTCACCCTCTCAACCCTCTGCCACGCGGCCAGATAGGCAGACACACACACACACAGAGACTCGCACACGCCTGGCCGGCTCAGCACCGCCCGGGTTCCGCGTCAGGGACAGGTCTGGTACCGGTACCAGCACCACACGGAGCACCCGAGCCACTTTTTGATGCCAGCAACGCAAGTCAGGTACGGACAGACAAGCCTGACCTTGTACTAGTACAGCACCTCCAACCATCCTTTCTGCAGACGTAAAGCTTCATCAATGGGACATCATCACCATCTCGTACCTACCTTGGACGAATGCTAGAAACACACAGCCAACACGACTTTCTGTCCCAAAGTACAGGTACACTAGACTACCTTAGTGGCTGAGAGCCCATGCAAGCATTTTGACGCAGGGCCTAGCGAACGCCCCTGCTCGTCGCCCCGCCAACCGCCGTCCCACATCAACAACAAGCCATCGAGCCGCGCCGTTTCCCTCTTCCTCGCTGCCAACCCACAGCTTCTGCAGCCCCCCAGACGAGAAAAATAATCCGGCCCAGAGCGCGCGCGCGGCGGCGACTCTCTTCCCTGAAAGGTCAGCAGCTCTCCCCTATAAACGAAAGAGTGGGAGAGAGGGAAAGGGAAGCATCTCCACTTGACGCAATTGATCCCGTCCCATATAGTACTCGTACCTACACTACTTGTGCTGCTGTCACTGCATACCTGCATCAAACCATCATCCTGCATTGTCGCCTCGCCCTGATTCTTCTTGTTCGCGTTGGTGTCGTATGGGAAACAAGGCCATGTAGGCGCTTCCACGGCGTATGAGTGGGAGAGACAAAGAGACAGACCACAAGCAAAGCAGAGGCGTCACACCACAGGAGCAAGGAACAGGCACAGCTCGGCCTCGAATCCATCCATCAACCCATCCATCCATCCATCATCTGCACATCCCGCACTTCTGCATGCCGCGCCGCCTCTCGTTAAGCTGCATGTAGGCTACTGTACGCAGAGGGCATCCATCCGGCTCCCCTTTCGGCGCGCTTCTTTCGTTGCTTCTTCACCACTTCTCTTCTTCTGCTGCATACATACATACCGTCACTGCTTTCTCCCCCCCTCACCCCCCAGTTACCAGCCTTCACTCTTCTTCGTCATCTAACCTCCCCCCCAAGTCCCTTCGGAGCTGCCAAGGGTCCCTCCCCCCCCTCTCCTCCTCTATCCCCTTTCACTGTTTCCCTTATCCTACCTGCTTCATACATTGCCTTCTCTTGCGCGTTTGCAGATTAACCGGCTATTCTTTCTTGAATCCGTTCCACCGCGTCTCCCCCCTCCCCTCCCCCCGTCCGAGACAGTTCAACGTCCTGTCTTGTTGTTTGTGCTCCAGGGCAAACGTTCGCAAAATAGCACCAGCCTGTGCAACCCGGAGCCGACACACGCGCATACCCACGCCGAGAGAACAAAGGGGGGAAAAGGGAAGCAGGTGATCAGACAGGCAGGCAGGCAGGCAACCAGAGAGCCGGGTCTGCTCGACGCAATTCGAGCCGAGTGCCATGGCCTCGAGCAATGGCTTCTACAATCCCTCGCCCAACTTCAGCCCTCCACGGCACCGACCGAAGCCGTCCGTCCTAAAGTTCATCCACCGCCGCGAGCAGTCCGCCAACGACGCCCTGCAAGGCTCGCCCCTGGAGGCTCAGTTCACAAACATCATGCCCGCCGGCAACTTCGCCAGGAACAGCCCGGCCGCCCTCGGCGAGCTGCAGCACAACCGCCAGGAGCCGGCGCCGCGAGCCTCCTCCCGTAAGTCGCGAGACGAACGCCGACCACCCGACCCCGAGCCCGCCGCCCGCTCCGGCGCCGACTCGCCCACCAAGAAGAGCTTCCTCCTCAGCATGACCAAGTCGCGCGACTCGTCGCCCACCAAGAGCCCCAAGAAGGCCAAGTCGGGCGCCAACCTGACCAACCTGCTCGGCCGACCCAAGACGATTAAGAGCCTACACAAGCTGGTGACGGACGACGAGGGAATACAGTCGGGCAAGGATAAGGAAAACAGAACGCCGGACGAGCCCCCTCACAGCGCCACCCTGCCCGCGTACGCTCAGTTTCCCAGCAATGAGTCCTCCAACTCTCTGGGGCCGCCCAGCCCGACTAGAAGCCACAGGGAGCGCAGGGAGCATAGAGATTCCAGAGACTCGAGGGACTCTAGAGGCCACAGGGAGCACAGGGAGCACAGAGACCACCGCGACCACAGAGATCAAAGCGATCAGAGAGGCTCCTCCGAGAGGCGCTCCATCGCCAGGGAACGCCCGCGTACGCTCATGTATCCGACGCGGTCGCAGCAGGACATTAAGCAGTCTTCCATCAAGTCGGAATCGCCCAGCGGCTCCAAATCGGCATCGTCCAAGGGCAAGTCCATCCGCGAACGGGGCAAGGTCTTTGGCGCATTTGCCAGCTTCAGCCACGGCCGCTCCAAGTCGGAGACGTCGACTCCCCGCGGCGGCTCGCCCACCGCGCCGGGGCACGTCCTGGACCTCAAGGACATCAACAAGCAGCTCGAGGCGCTCCTGGACCGCCGAAACATCCCCGAGAACCAGCGCTACAAGATGCGGAACCTGAGCGACACCATCAAGATGGAGTTCATCCGGCAGGACTGGGCCGAGATGCGCGCCGCCAAGCTGGAGCGCAAGGCCGATCGTCCTCGAACCAGCGTCAGCAGCAGCATCAACGGCACCGGTGCAGGTGCTGGCACCGGCGCTGGTGCCGCCGCCGCCTCCTCGTCCGCCGCCACGTCCACCTCCGCCGTCGTCTCCGATGCCGAAGAGGAAAAGCCGAAGCGAACGCGCGGTCGAAGCTTCACGTTTTCGCGCGCGAAAAAGGACAAGGAGCGCTCCTCATCCAAAAAGTCAACAAAGGGGGAGAGCACGCTGGGCCGGCACTTCAGGAACAAGTCTTCTGACAGCGTAACCAGCGATCGACCCGTCTCGAGCGGCGCCTCGTCTGCCGGGAGCACATTGCTATCCAAGATCAAGATGCAACAGGGGCCGGCCGACTTCGTCGCGTACCTTAGAAAGGTGCGCCAGCCGCAGCAGGTCGAGGTGGGCAAGCTTCACAAGTTGAGGCTATTGCTGCGGAACGAGACCGTTGCCTGGATCGAAGAGTTTATCCAGCATGGCGGAATGAAGGAGATTGTCGGGCTGCTGAAGCGCATCATGGAGGTTGAATGGAGGTAAGCTGCAATATTTCTTTCTTTTCCCTTGTCTGTAGGGGCTTTCTAAATCTAACTTGCAAAAACAAACAGAGAGGAACACGAAGACGCCCTCCTCCACGAGAACCTCCTGTGCCTCAAGGCCCTGTCCACGACGGCAAAGGCAATGGAGTATCTCCACTCGGTTCAGGCCGACCTCTTCCCAAAGCTGCTACACCTGCTCTTCGACCCCGAAAAGAAGGGCCCCAGCGAGTTCACCACGCGCAACATCGTCACGTCGGTTCTTTTCACCTACATCGAGTCCGCGTCTTCCGCGGAGCGCGTCATCAGGGCTAGGAGCGTCCTGAGGCACCTGCGAGACCCAGAGCCGGAAGAGTCGGCGCGACCGCTGCCGTTCGTCCTGGAGATGCGACAGGAGCGGCCGTACCGCGTGTGGTGCAAGGAGGTGGTCAACGTGACCAAGGAAGTCTTCTGGATCTTTCTCCATCACCTCAACGTGGTGCCGCTGACGGCCGAGCCGGACGGCTCAGGCGACGCAGCCATGGGCCGTCTGACCAACAGCGACAACGACGAGCAGTACGCATACATGCGCCGCCACTTCCCGCACGAGAGGGCCCCGGTGCCCGCTGCCCCTTATGTGGGCGGCGTGGAGTGGGACGCGACCAATTACCTGGCGTCTCACCTGGACCTGATGAATGCCATCCTGGCCTGCACTCTGACGCTCGACGAGAGGAACCGCTTGCGGGCCGAACTGCGCATCTCGGGCTGGGAGCGGTGTATGGGCGGCAGTCTGCGCCTGTGCAAAGAGAAGTTCTACGGCAGCGTTCACACCGGCCTGAGGACCTGGGTGGCCGCGGCCGCGGAGGATGGATGGGACGTCAAGGACGTGAGGTACGGGCCGCCCGCTGATGCGAGGACGTCGCCCGTGAAGCCTGGCTCGCCGCGGAAGAAGGTGGAGGATGCGCCAAAGCTGGATATGCCAAAGCTCGATTTCAACTCGAACAAGACGCAGCCGCCCCCGAAGGACGGTTGGCTATGACACGACGCAAGAGCTGACGGCAAAGGGGAAAGAGGAAACAAAAGAAATGACAAAAGAAAAAAGCAGACACCGCTAGTTTCGACACATAACGACAACAACACGATGGGCTGATTGAGCCCACACCTCAACACGTCGATATACGCACGACGCGGACCACCACACCGCAAATACGCGTACACATATACATGCATATACCTTATATACGCGTTGTGTGCAGCCTCACGGATTGGGAAATAGAAGCCCGGTTTTGCCATTTTTCACTTGCATGGAACGAAACGTTTTGCTCCACCAGCGTATACTGGCAGAACGAAACAAACGGGGGAAAGCATTTGGAAAGAAAGCAATTTGGCCTGGAAGGAAAAAAAAAGGGACAACAGCCACTTCTGAAGAGAAAAAAGACAGACAAACATTCCAGAGTCGAAAAAAAGGCAGTGGGCAAAAAGAAGAAACCCACTTTGAAAGACTCGGGAGGTAAATACAACAACAACCCAGAAGATTTGCGAGAAGGAAAGGGGGGGTATATTTCTTTTTCTCACTTTCATTATTTCCCTTTTTACTTCTTTCCCTTTTCTTTTTTCCTTATTTCCTTTCTTCTCTTTTGGTTGGCGTCTTCACTGACTCACAACCCCCCTTCCCCCTTCTCCCTCAACAATCTTGGGCAAACACCAAAGCCCAACTTGATGACGGGGGGACAAAGATTTGGGTACTAGTACTAAGTGGCAAGGGGTGTTTTTTTGTCTTTTTGTTCTTCGTTCAGTCATGTTGTTTTCCCCTCCTTGTTAGTTTTCTCTCTGTCTCTCTCTTTTGTCGAAACATTGGGGGGGGGGGGGCATTGGGGTTCTTGTGTATGATTGTATGTTCATGAATTAATGACACGACTACAGCCTGCGGGCCATCATTCATCTATAGGTATTGATGACAGTTTTGATTTCCTGAAACTTCCCTTTCCCCCCATCTATGCTTCTTGATCCCCGGTGATGGGAGATGACAAAGACGTTGGTGACCCTGAGATGATATGAATCGTGACCGTACCGCTCCAAGATGGGGAGGTGGAACGGCATCTCTTGAAATGATATCTATCCATTAGGAGTCACCTGTCCATCCAGGAGACATCTATCCAAGAGGAGATACATATTCCCCAGGAAATGCTTATCCACCAGCAGATGAATGTTTGGAAGCATTTTTCTAGACTAACCTAGCTTGTTGTTCCCTCTCTACGAGCCCCGGTGTAGTTTGAACGCTTCATAAACAGGCATGCCCCTAGCAACGTCCTCCTTGACTTTGATGTCTGCGGCAACAAGGCCCGGCAGCAAGTCCAAGACGTCGTCGACCTTGTCCCGGGGAATAATCACGACACCGTTGCCCGGGTCGCTGAAGGCAACGTCGCCGGGGCTGATGTCGACCCCGTTGACCCGGACCGTCACCTGAGTCGCCCAGGGCACGCAGCCGCCGCCCGATCCTACGGTGGAGGTGCCGTAGCCCCAGATCTGCAAAGCTTAGGCCTTGTGTAAAAGAGCATGTCTAAAGGGGGGAGGGGAGGGTGTCACGAGTGAGGATGATGCCCAGGAGGGGGAGGGTGTCACGGTGTGGAGGGTACCAGGGTGAGGAGGGTGCCAGGGAAGGGGAGGAGGAGGTGGCGTGTGGCTGTCATAATCTTTGTATCAAGTGGTAGGGGAGGAAAAGGTTCCTTACAGGCAAATTGGTGCTTCTCAACTCATCCAGGTCTCTCACTCTCCCGGCAACGATGATGCCCGCTACCTGGCGAACCTTCATCCTCAGGGCCATGATGCCACCGCAGACGGCGTTTGTCTGGCCCTCCGGCTGCTTCAGCACGGCAAAGCTGCCGGGCTCGGCCAAGTCAGCCCAATGGACGTCCTTGGGGATATTCTGCGCGGGAAGGCTGGCATCGCCCTCGCTAACACCGGCGGGCTGCTGCTGCCCCTTGGGAGCAAACAAGACTGTAGATACAGGAGCCACGGTGACTGGTGGTGATGCAGCCGCATGGCTGGCCTGCTGCGGGCTGTATGCCACGAGGTCCGCAACGTAGCCTGCGCCGGGGACCTTGAGCTTGAGCAGGGCGTCCGAGATGTCACATGCCGAGTATTTCTCGAGCTGCGCAATGATGCTGCTGGACAGCGGCGATGACTGAGCCATGGCGTTGCTGGTGATGCCGGTATGTACCTTGACCTTGTTTCTATCAAACGGGTGATCTTTCCTCACCAAGCCGGCATGTGACAACCCAAGCTGCCTGTGCAACTCGTAAGCTGGTATTAAGTAGTAGTATCGAAAACGAAGCGCCGGACCGATGAACCGACGGGGAATTTCCTACCGCCACTGCTTGCTGTCGGGGATATGCAGCGCCGCGGCCTGTTTACGGGAGTATTGCTCGGGGAGAGGAGGGTCCTCGCCGCTTGCTGCTTGGTGATGAGCCCTCCTGCGGCCGGCTTCCCTGGCGTCGTGTCCGTGTCAGTTTGTCTGTCGTGCCGCAGTTGGGCTGAGTCGGCCGAAGTAATTGGACGGCTGATGCACGAAGACAGCACCTTGGCGAGGGGCCAGAAGAAGTCGGTGAGAGCGGCTAAGGCACAGGCAAGGCACAGGCAAGGCAAGGCAAGGCAAGGCAGGTCCCAGAGTGGAAACGACTCTTTGAAGGCCGGTGATGGCGAAGGACAAGTGGCAACCGGACCGGACCGGGCAGCTGAGGCTGGATCCAGGTTCCAAGTAACCTTACAAGTGAGTTGAGGCCTTGACCGAGTCGCCACAGACCAGGGCGTGCAGTCGGGAGAATTCGTGCCTGAGTGAGGGTTGGATGATGCCTCAGGCGGAGGTTTTGTGTATCTGTAAAGACAGAAGCAGGCAGGAAGGGCCGGATACAGCAAACAGCCAAATCAAGAAGCGACCATGTGGAAGGAGCTGGTGGGAGGAGCCGGAAGGAGAAGCCGCGGCTATAGCAGTTGCTAGAAGCGCTGAGGAGCTAAGCTCAAGCTACCACAAGGGCACAGTGGGAGAACTGACCTCCTCCATGTACCTTCAATTTACTTCCAGCCCCGAAGAATGGAACTTGAAGCTGGCCTACTCCCTCAACATCGACGAGTCTCTCGCATATACTTGCTGGGATACGCGGCGTAATGCCGATATCTTCCACATTGGACGCAGACCCGACTCGACCACGCTCATGTGCCAATGGAGATGCGTCACTTGTTGATCTGTTGGAACAGTGGATAGGCGAGGCCCTCCGAGTCGTACGTCGAGTTGCATGATACAGACAGTAGGTACACTAGCACCCCGACTGTGCGAGAGTTGACGGCTTTCTCACCTCGTATGCAGAACTGCATTCCAGGTGAGGGCGCACAGCAGCCAGCCATCGGCACATCCAAGGCATCTGGTGGCATGGCTGACACAGCCCGGCGCTCCACGATTGCAGGCCGCTGCCATTGCACTTGTGCCCCAGCTCCCGAGTCTAGGTACAGTGCCTGCAGAACAAGCGAGCGCAACGACACTCGTCGAAGCCGAAAGAGAAGACCAGAAGGGACGAAGAAGCTTTCAGCAAGATATCCCTGATACTGGCACGTCCAACTTGGCGGGGCACATCCTTCGTCCCTGGCCGTCAAAAAAACGGGAGCCGCCGTAATGGCTTGGCCGTCCAATCAGCCTGTGTACCATCCCGTACGGCCTGCTGCTGCAAGCTCCAGCCAGCAAGGGTCAGCATGCGACACCGGTCCATATATGTACGGTACCTATCGTTTTCCTTTCTGGCAGAACTCGGTGGAAGACGGGGCTTCGATAGGCTTGGATTCAGCAGTCGTGGAGTGCCTGGCAATCGACCCTGCGAATGATGCTACATTGGTTACCCTGGCCCCATCGCCAGTACATGCAGCATCGTGCCAGATTTTGTGCCTGAATGCCTAGACGTGGGATGAAAGAGTCCTCGCCTGTGGGGCTGATACAATACAGACATGTAGTGTATAGTATGTGTGCTTGTTGATCAGCAGTCCGTGAGCCGTAGCGACGACTGTCGCCAGAGGTTGTAGTAGAGGTATCGGTACTACGAGGACTATTTCCCGGTAATTCACCCCTGACAAGGAGCTTTCTTCGCACCAACTCTCTCGAAAAGGACGCGGGATGACGCTAATCACAGGCAGAATCGTGCATCTCCTCGTTGGCGGAAGCGAACAGTGGGTGATGATAGAGCCAGCAGCAACAGATGACAAGAGGAAATGCAAGGGGATCTCAGGGAAGTGACAATACGAGGATCATGTGAGGGAAGGGCTCCGGACATGCATCACGAAAGGCAGGACGCAAAGCGTCTCCTCTATCCGTTGCAGCACAGCATCTCCCTTCGCTTCCAGCCAGCGTCCAGCGAACGCGACCAGCACATGGGGGTAAAGGAGGGTCGGCTGAGGCCAGAACGGCAGGCAAACAGCTCTGGTGACGGGGAGAGGGCGCCCTGTGGTGACCGGTGAGCTAGCAGCATTGTACGCGGAGGTGGTGGCGGGCTGAGGGCTGGATCTTGTGAAACTCGTCGTGCGGGCGGTTGAGTCGCACATTGTGCGTGGTGGTGATGATGCTGATGCCGCGACAAGCCGGCAGTCGGTTGGACCATCGCGAGTACGACACACTGCACATGTGTGTGAGGTGTCAAGCCAAACTATCGAAACTCTGGCATCTCGATCGCCATCGCAGCCATATATACGAGGGCGAGCGTCGCGTCCTTCATGTATGTGGATGAGTGTATCGCCTCGCGTTTGGGCAGTTGGTGGGCCAGTCGGAGCGCCTCCGACCTGCGTCAGAGGGGGCAAAAGCACGACTTTACAGAAGAGGCAAGGGGACAAAGAACTGAGCGCTGAACTCGTCAGATGCGACCAGGGCGGGCCAAATGCGAATCACAGCTTGCCACAATGGCAGAGAAGGAGCAGAGAAAAGCGTGAAAACATGGAACAGCAAACGAGATCCAGCGTCACCGGATGGCAGGCTGTTGGAGCCCTCGCTTATTCAATGGACATGTATGTACATACATGCTCGTACCCATGCACCGCCGATACCACCCCCAGAGACCCGGAGGACCTTTGCGCTCTAGCACCACTGCGGCTGGCCTCGATGTTCGATGTAACTGCAGATCCAGCCAACCCGGGACAAGGTCGTGGCATCGCCTTGCACTGGCAAACTCACCAAGCTCAAGACGCTCTACATAGGAATAACAAGCAGGCAGAGAAGCAACAGGTGTCTTAGTACGTGGCCGGCCAATCGTCTCGACAAGGAGAATGCCGAACCTTCTCCTCAGCTGCCCGTCTCAATGTGAGATGCTGCTGTTCGTCGATGCTCAGCAGTTCTCACAGCGCCAGCGCGGCTTTTGTCTTCCCCACCACCCCCCAGGGCTGCGTGGCCGGATCGATGACCGATTTGGTGGTGGTGTGTGTCATTGAGGTGTTGTCGTCTCCCGCCCACGCCCCCTTTCTCTCATTTCTGCTTCGTACTCACCTATAGACAGCACATCACTGGGTCGACAATCAACGATGCAAAGCCGCAGGGTGATAACAAGCCACAGAGTATCGGCGTTTGCTACGCCGGACACATTTCGTCCGCCGCGACTGAAAGCCTTCCAAGTTTGACTGCACTTTTTTATAGTACGTCACCCACCTCTTACCGGGATCCAGGTTGTGAATTGGCTGGTTCTCATGCACGTCTCGACTGTTACGCGCGGGGCACCACAGCCAAGTGGTGGTAACGCGGGCCAGGCCATGCACAGCATCTCGTAGCAATTCTGCGGAATTGCATGGAGCTGTGTGACCCCCTCGCCAACTAGCCAGGGCAACGACAGTAAAGTGCAGCGTAAATCAGGATTTCTGGTGCTCGACTGACTGAAGGGCTCCCGTACTCCGTATGTACATGGAATGTCAGTTCGCATCTCGCTTCCACCCAGTGCTTCCGTTGTGGCCTCCAGCCGTTGTTGCTATTCTTATCTCGATGTCTGGCTCCGAGGACGATGCTCATGACGCCCGCAGCAGCTGCTCACTTGGCAGTTCCTATGCAGTTCGCTCTTTGCGGAGGTCCATGCCCGAATAGCCTCCACACATCGAAAGCAAGGCGAGCAATGCAGATGAATATGACGAGGACAACTCGACAGATGCTTCACACCTCACCTATGGTATGCACTTGCTTGCAAGGCTACGCAAGGCCCAGAGGCTGTCGCTGTTGCCTCATGTCCCCGATCTGGGCATGTATTTCGAAATTATCTGGAAGATGCATACATTCACAGACGCGTTGAGGCTGGAGCCAATGGGCACGAACCGGCACGTCAAATCTGTCAAGCGGTCCTGCTCCGTAAAGCCTGGCCGTTTGTGGTTGTCTCCCCAGACTGCTGCAACCACACCCCCCTTCTTCTCTCCTCTTTTCCCTCTTCTCCCCTGAGGAGTCGACTAACCGTTCGGAGTAATTGCCATCGTCCAAGGTAAATCCCCGATTCGAAATCTCAGAGACACGATACAATGAGAGAGGCTCTAGGCTATATGCAAGGAGCACATACGGAGTAAGCTGGACACCACTCCGAGGGGCATGGTTTGCAGCGCCAGGACCAGTCGCCATTGGCCACGCGATGGCACCTCACCCCATCCAGCAGGTCAGCCAATTGCCACTGACTGTATGTACCGGAATCCTTGTATCGAGGGCTGCACAAGGTGCGTGTTCACTGATTAGCTCCCGTGCAGTTCTCCAGTCTTAGCTGGCGCGCATCCAGTCTGATGATGCAGGCTTTTGACTTGTCGAGGTGTCGGACCTTGTGCCATTTGGTTTACAAGGCGCCGTCCCATGAGTGAAATTGCCTGACTAAGGCGAGTTGAGACGGGGAAGAGAGCCATGGGGTCTGTAGAGGGCCCTTTCTGGAGGTCCAAGGCGGCCGACCTGGCTCAACTGGGGAAGATGGACGCCCGGCAACCGGGTTCGTGATGCGTCCTTGGTGGATGGGCGAGGAGTGAGGTAGTGATTAAGGTTAGACAAGCATATCGACTGATCAGCAGCCACCCCAGGCCACTTGTTATGGGGCCGGCCCTGGCCTATCGAAGCCGGGAGCAGAAGCGTGGCTGTCCTGCAGGCGCTAGTTGTCCATGGTACGAGGTCGACTACTAGCAGGTTAGTCGTAGCAACGAGCCAGGGCCTGCGATCCGGGCTCGGGCGCTGGAGCTGGAAGCTGGAGACGGGAGACTGGAGCCTGGAGACTGGAGCTGACCACATGCAGTTGCTCGCACATTTCCAGAGTCTGAGCTGTCAGGGCTATGCTTTATACAGAAGATTGAGCATCACTAGTATCCCCAGCATGCCTCTGCTTTCAGTAAGTGGCATTCCGCATGGAGCTGGGTGCTTCCTAGTGTTGACAGATACGTGGATCATGCTTTTGATTTCTCCGTTTTGGTTCCGATCAGACGCGGTGTCTCGGGCAGTGAGGCACTGTACAAGGAGGTCTCGTTGATGTCTATCCTTTCCGGCGTGGCATCAAAGCGGCCAAGGTGAGGTGAGATGGTGCTGCCGGTTCCAGCAAACCATGACAGGCGGGAGACGATATTCCTTGCCCCAATGAACCTACCTACCTTATTTTGTCACCCAGGCACACCCACGATGCTTCTGTACGACTCGAATGTTGAGCCGTCGTTTTCAAGGAAAGATGGGCCGGTGCTGGCCGAGTTCCAGGGAGAGCACATGCAGCCATGGGCAGCAGATATCGTGGGAGTTGCTCTATTACCTGGTACCTGTCAGTTTTCACACGCCACTCATCTGCCGTCGCATCATCTTATCGCCAGATTGAGAGCGAGCCTCGACCACCGCAGCCACTTGTCCTCGAGACTGGCCGCAGATGTTGGCATGATTCCCTTATTGGGTGACGGTCTTTGGTATTGATTGGATTTGTTTTGCCTGTATAAGCACATCACTGACAAACAATTGCCTGCTATACTACCTACCTTAGTATATGACTGAAGCAAATGGACACACAAAGAGGTCGGTACATGTACATTCAGGCACCGAGTCCTGGTCCGCATGGAAGCAGCGGATCCATGCCCATGGACAGGCATCGCCAGGGCACCACGGCTCGCACCCTCTCAGCCGCCATTAGTCAAGTCCAGAGTATTGGAGACTCCATGGAACCCGACGCTGCCAAAGTGGAGGCGGTATGGGCTCTCCGTGCCTGTGCCCGTGCCCGTACCTGTGTCTGTACCTGTACCTGCACCTGCGTGCATCATAGATGTGAGCATCTCATTGGCAGCACCGCTCGAATCCCCCGGTTGTTTGCGACAGGCGAGCTGCAGCAGAGCGTGTGGCATCTGCCAGCTGATGACGGATGGCCTCTTGAGCCCGGGCGGTCATGAGTCGAGTCAACGGGCCCAGTTCAGCCAAGGAATCGTCAAACTCTTTGGGATGATGGGTACTGATAGGTGAGTCTCGCAAGGACTATTGCCTCACCTCAGCACTTTAACGGACGGATAGAAGATGGAAGACTGCAGTTTGCATTGTGTAAGTACCTAGGTCCGAAGTACTGGTTGATTCAACGATGCTTCCCATAAACCCTCGAAACCCGACTTGCACCTCCGAGGACCCGGGCGACGACAGCAAACACATGCTGCTGACGACCCGTTGGTTGCTACCTAGTGCTCGAGCAAACCCGCCCAGGCGCTGGCCGTGCCGCATCTCGAGCTGCGCGGCTCTCCTCCGCGCATCGTCTGTCGGTGGATAGCCCGGAGCCTGGTCTCCATCCCAGTCATCCATCCTCGATCCAGGCGGCTCCAAGGTCCGTAGAAGCTGCTGGCAGCATCCTGACGACATGGAGTCGGGCTTGACTGCTCGTTACGCAAGCGCCCCCGAATTAGCAACTGGCTGCGGATTACATACGCCCGTCCTCCGGCATGCCGCCTGACAGGTCGCATCGGATCACCTCGCCTCACCTTGGTTTTGGTTGTTGCGGCATCAATCTCCAACCGTCAAGAGCGCAGTAGGTACAGCAGGTAGGTACTTTGCACAGTGCAGCCTCTCGCCTCCCCACACCCCTCTTTGCCCTCCAACTTCTTCTCCTCACTCCTCCTCGTCTCTGTCCATTGTCTTGTCACAACCCGCCTCTGCAAACGCCCACACCCCCAGCCACTCTTTTTTATGCCCAGTGCATATTTTCCCCTTCTCTTTTATTTCCTGAACCGTTTGTCTCCTCTTTTTGGACCTGCCGGCCTCGTCTGGGCCGCCCAACCTTGAAGCGTCCTGCGCCGGCCCCACCACCCTCACCCTCGCAACAAGCGACAAGGCCCCGGGCAAAAGCCTTTGCAGGGTCTGGCGACGACGCTTGCGAGATCTCCTGCTAGCCCGCGCGACAAAGACCACAGGCAGACCAGACACGGACAGACAGAATCACACCGGCTGCACTGCTGCTGCACGCCGTGCCTGTACGTGGACCGTCCGTCGAGCTTGCTGCTGCTCCTTAGCCCAGCGATCCGGAAGAGGAGCTAGGGTTTGCTCGAGAACCCTTGTCAGAGGCCGCGAGAAGAGAGAGTCACAGACGGGGGAAAAAAATAATAATAATACAATGTCAATAAAGTAAGCCTCCTTCGCGAGTCACCGTCGTCCCGTCTCTTTTCTCTCCTTCCTGTCCCTGGTTCCCCATCCTGCCGCATCGCTCGTTCACTGTCCCCTTTCCTTGTCGTCTTGTCGGGGCCTCCCAATCACTGCAGCTGGGCGCGCGCGGCTTCATGTCGCCTTGCCTCTCTCTCTCTCTCCTCCCCAAAACTATTTAACTCCTCCTTCGCTTTCCTTCCTCCCCGTCCTCCTCCTCCTCTCCTCTTATCCTCTTCCCCCATCTGTCCGTCTCTCCATACGAAGGACTCAGCCAGCCTCGTCTTGCATCGTCTCGGCTCTTTCTGCTGAGCATCACCATCTATACCTTGCCTGTATAGCCTGTCTCTACCTCCCTCCCTCCCTCCCCCCCGCCTCGTCTATCCCGGCATCCGTCTTGCCTTGCTCGCCTTGCCAGAAAAGTTGCTCTGGCCTCGGCTTCTGCCCCGCTACCCAGCCTCGAGGTTCATGGAACCATGTGCCTGGGCCCAGCCCCACGATGAACAATCCTCATGACTACCTTATCTCAAGCGCCACGAGCGCGCCTCCCCGGCGGCCGATCGATCCTGACAATGCCGATAGTTGGGTAATGCTCAACCAGGGCGGATTCGTGAAGCTGGGCAACGAGCGGATCCTGTGGAAGCTCGATGGGCGCATATCCTGCGAACTGTCCGTCCCCCCGGAGCTAAGAGCTCGCTGCGTCCCGTTCCATCGCAAGAGTGACAAGGGAGCTCTCTTCCTGACCAACAAGCGGGTTGGTTGAGCCTTTGAGAAACAGTCCCCCGTATGGCCCAGATCCTAGTGAGCTAATATGCCCGGCAGGTCATCTACCTCCCCGCGAAGCCGACCCAGGAGCCAAAGTTCGAATCATTCAGCGCGCCCATCCTAAAGTTCCAGGACTCGACCACGTCTTCGTCCATGTGGTGGGGATGGGTCTGGAAATCAGACTGCATCCCCGTGTCGGGCGGCGGCATCCCGCCGGAGCTGCCGCGCGTCGAGGTCAAGCTCACCTTCTCGGACGGCGGCATGATGGAGTTCAATGAGGCGTACATTGGCCTGCGAGAGCGCCTGTTCCAGTACCAGGAGATGCGCAGGGAGCTGGACGCCAGCACCGAAGTCCCCGACGAACCTCTACCTGCGTACGAGGCCCAGGGAGACCGACAAGAGCCGCCGGCGCCTAGCCAGCTGGCCGTCCCGGGGCCGAACCGCTCAGACAGCTCCGCCAGCCGCCGCGCCCCCAACGAGCCGCCGCCAAATTACGACGAGGCGCAAGCGCAGCAGATCAGCAACCGCTTGGAGGATCACATCCGGAACGAGGTCGATCGAGGCGCCGCAGACGAGTAGGCGCCATAATGGGTGCTTCGTGGCGAAGCCTGGGTGAAACGATTCATGAGACTACGAAACAAATCTCGGCTGTGATTTTGCGCTTGCTTCTCTATGAATAGGGACCAAACCTTTTTTTTTTTTCCTCTTTGACAGCTTCTTCGGCTCTAGTCGCCGTAATGTGTTGCTATTGCGTGGATTTACATGGCGCCGGAAGAAACAGGACTTATTAGTATTCATACACGAAACCATTGGGATTTACTACACATGGACAAGGGGGGTTATCTTATAATGATGAGTTCCGAGCCCGCCAGGCCCTGCTTGCTTTGGAAGGGCCCTGGTTTGATTCAATGCCAGTTTTGTGTTTGTTTTGGGATTCACTACTTGTAGGAAGCCGCCCATTGTGCCACCTTTCTCGTGTTGTGCTCGTGTGTATGTCATGTCCCGTCGCATCTCCACGTTTCGCTCTGCGCACAGCATCCATCGAAGCTGCTTGTGATGTGTTGTTGTTCTGGCGGCGGAGGTAAGGGGGTGATACAGCGCCCCTCCCGCTGAATCGGAGATCTCGAAAGGGCCCCCCAGTCCGTGAGTGAGGATCCGCCAAAACGGGCAACCCCAGCTGCTGCCAATAGCCTGGCGGCCGCTAAAAGTCGCAACAACTCGTCATTTTAACATGTGCGAAGCACGTTTGGCTGACAAAGACGGGAGGTAATGTGACTAGTCCCGTGACCTGTTCTTGTGTGCGATTCTGGCTGCGGCGATTGGAGGCGCCGGGCCAATCAAAATGCCTCAATTGCCCGGGATAAGCGTCAGTTTCTTTTCCGAAAGCTGCCTACCTACCCGATCTAATACCGTACGATTTTTGACCGCAAACCACCAACCACGGGACACGGAACGCAAAGGCTCGATCGCGCGCGCAAACGAGAGACATTTTCGACAATGGGTATCTGGGACGCTTTCTCCGAGATTGTTGAGGCGGTGACGCCATGGGGTGTTGTGGAGGCCGAGGCTCCGGCTGAGGAACCGCAGGTAGGTGGGATGCTTGCTTTGGCTTGCTTGCTTGCTGTGATTTCGGACGGGAAAGCTGGGAGAGGGGAGGGGGGGATGTGGGATGGAGACATACATGGAAGATCAGCTTTGGGCAGCTGTGCAGAAGCTTGTGTGATTGGAAAGAATGAGCGGTGAATTTCTTTTTTTGGTGGTGGTTTTTTTCGGAGTTGTGTTGCGGGTTTCGTTTGAGCTGGCATGGTGGTGGTGGTGGGGAGCGATTTTGCTGTTGCGCTGTTGCTGCTTGATGGGGTTTGATGAGGCTTGAATATGTGGGATATTTGGGGCTGATCTTTTGACCGTTTTCTAGGAAGTCCCCGAGGCCAAGGTAGAGGAGAAGAAGGAGGAGCCTGAGGAGGAGAAGCCCGCTGCGGAAGAGGAGCCCGAGGAGGAAGAGGAGGAGGAGGAAGAGGAGGAGGACGAGGAGGAGATCAAGGACCCCAAGGAGGAGCTCGAGGAAGGTTCGTCATTTCCCCCCCTCTCCATCCTTGTTCCCTTTTGCTTTGCGCATGCGGTCTTGGAGCAGCTGCTTCGTCTAGTTGTCCTTGTTGCATGAAGGGCGAGGCATTTCTTTCTGCGGCGCAAGGCGGGGACCTTGTAATGCTTCTTTGAATTGGGGAAGCTTGTTATGCTGACTTTGAGTGTGTGTGTGTGTTGCAGAGTGCAAGAACTCTCCCCAGTGCTCGCCTGCCAAGCACCACTTTGACGAGTGTGTCGAGCGGGTTCACCAGCAGGAGAGCGAGGGCGAGGCCAAGGAGGACTGCGTTGAGGAGTGTACGTTTAGCCCTCCCCCAACCCATTTCATCGGAGTCCCATTACTCTTGTTTGTCGCCTCGATTGTCAAGAGACGGCTGCATGGCGCTCTCGATTCATGTCCTCTTCTGCTAACGATGGTTCCGGTTGTTTCCAGTCTTCCACCTCGCTCACTGCGCCACCGCATGCGCCGCCCCGAAGCTGTGGTCCAAGCTGAAATAAACAAAAGCGTTCCCACGATAACGGCCCAGAGCGGAAAATGAACCGTACCATTCTCGACGGAAGCTATGCCCAGCATGGGGGGAGAAAAATAAAAGAAGAAAGAGTTTCGATGTGGGCAGAAACCCGTTTGAGAAGGGTATGCAAGAACAATGTTCATTATACTTCACGATCGACTTCCCTTTTCCTTTCCGGTGGTCAAAAACAACGACAACTACAGCAGCTTTTTTCTCTTTTGCCCCCTTTCCTCCCTCTCTCGCTTTATGTTTGGGCGGCGATTGGGAAAGGCTGTCCCTGTGTGTACTCTTACGCTCAGCGAGCCATGAAAAATAAAGATTAGAATCCCCTTTTCTCTCTCTCTCTCTCTCTCTCTCTCTCTCTCTCTCTTCTATATTGGTCTGGGGCGTGGTGGTGCCCTTCTCCATGACTGAGATACCATGAGGTACGGGTTGTCTTTGATTGTTGGGGGTTCGTGGTGTTGCGTGTGTTGCTTGCTGCTTGCGCTCCTGTGTTGCTGTCCTCTATACGTGCTCAAGTCGGTATAGATCGCGTTGGTCTCTTTGGCTCTGTTTACGATCTGATGACTTACTCCCATGGCTCAAGAAACACTTTCTCACTGCACCGTCTAAGGTATATAAGCTTGGAAGGGCCATTCTTCAGAAACAGGAGCACATCTCCCGCAGGGCCGTCAATGTTCGAAAGTAGCTCGATCAACAAATAGCCTGGATTTCCAGATCAATCAGGCTCTCAAGTTCTATAATCTGACTGAAAAGAGCAGCGGAAGTGCCCAACTGCCGGCAAATTGTACATCCCAGCCCTCGTGCCGTACAATGCTCACATGATGTCATTTCCCATCCGGGAAAGGGTCATTGGGCCCGATCAAAAGAAGCAAACATAGAGTAACCCGAACATGAAAGAAAAGAAAAGTAAAAGGATAAGGAAAAGCAAGCTCCCGAATTAACGCCCCATTTGTTGCTCTCGGTTGTAGTATAAGTCAACTCGCTCAAAGTATTCTCTCAAAACTCTCACAAGGAAATCGCGCCCCTTCGGTTTTCTCGGATGTGGAGTAGGCCTTGGAGGCCGCAGAAGACGAAGAAAGCCTGAGTACCATGGCACTTGTTAGCCGGTAAAGGGTTTTCTATCAAGGTATATATCCCCCGACAAGTAAAAGGACGGGCGAGGGTCGGAATCGAGACGCGCAATCGAGGGGTGTTCGGGTCTGTGTCCAGTTCCGGTAAGAGAGAAAAGGAGACGCACAATGTAGACAAAGACGGCGGAGAAGACAGTCTTGGAGATGGCCTTGCCATCAGAGGGATCGTCGATGCCGCCGACGAGCTCCTCGTGGCCGGAGCGGTAGAGCACGCCGAGGACGGTGAGGATGACGATTGCGAAGACGGACATGACGGTGCTATTGGGCCCAACAACCGGAAGCAAACAGTTAGCTTTTTGTGTTTTTTTTTTATCTTTCTTTTCGTAAAATGGACGAATAGTGTCGCAAAGAAGAGGGGGGGAGGCGAAATGGGAAGCTCGTGTTGTTGTTGCTTCGTTTCGCCCTTTCGGTGTGTGTGTGTCGCGAGACGGGAGTTTGGGTGTGGGTTGGACGGACCATGACCATGCCTTCATGGCACTGACGACGGGCTTCATGATGGGCGGGTTTCAAGGACGCGGTAAGCAAACGCGACTCAGTGATGGGGTGTCGTAGAGACTTTGTCGAGTACAGCGAAGAAGAGGCGAGGAGGAGCGGCAGAGAGACGAGGAGCGATTCGTTGGCTGGAGGTTATGCAGAGTTGCGCATCTTAGCTTCGACATCAACGGCACGGGAGGTTCAATGGTCAATGGAGCTAGAGCGCAACAGGACATCCGAGGATCCGCCGGGCGATGATGCTCTCAGCTTTAGCACCTGAGAGCTTCTTTGGGGGCCTTGGATCTCAGGCGCGGATGACTCTCGGGCTGCTTTACTGGACTCCGTGCTTATGTCATTGGCATCCCCGTTAGGCGCGCGGAAGTCGCGGCAAGAGAGAGGGAAGGCGCTGGCGCTTAAAGGTACGAGACGAGGTACGTACCGCTGTAGGGTTGCAGACTGGGAGGGATGTTTCTGTTTCTGTTTTGGGGAGGGCTGGGGTTTTAGCGTTGGCTTTTGCGTGCATCTGGGGGCTGTAAGCTGTACGAGTAACAGGACAATCGCTTCTTACTTCTTCATGGACAAGTTGCAGGTGCATCGTTCGGTTGGACGTGTTTTCGACAGAGAGAGCATCGCTGTACATCATCAGAACCGGTTGGCAGAAGAGGCTGATGTGAAGCCGAACTCGTGGCGAAGCAGCATTTGCCGTTTCACCAGAGGACAATGGTGAACAGCTACGAGTACAGAACTATCCGCGGCATCTCCAGCCCGGCAGAAGGCCAACCATCTGCCGTTGACGGTGCTTTCAGCTTGAGCAACGACACAGGCCGCGGGCAGTGCCCCCAGCCACCGTTGCTACAATGCCTTATGCAGCATCCACGGGCAGCCGGCTGCAGCTCTTGACCCTTTTGCCCTTCTGCGCAGTCCATCCCTGCCCCGGGAAGCCCTCCTAGGCTGCGCCGGCCCACCCAATGTCGCATCACGGCTCGGCTGGCCGCCTATCAACCAGTCAGGGGTCCTCCCTCGCGCGAGCCTCGAGTCGCATCGGCAGCCCTCGCCTGCCCAACGAGCCGTCATGGCTCAGCAGGCTTTGGGGGTTGGCGATGCTGTTTATAGCGGGCTGCGCGGGATATGGCCAGCTCAAGGGACGAGGCAGAGGAAGAGGGCTGTGAGGACGACAAGTTGGCCAGACCAGCATCTGCCTGCAGCATACCGATGAAACTATCGGAAATTCTAAGAAGGCTTGGGAATATAAAAGAATGACGAACGAGATGCAGCGGCCCTTTTCTTCTCATCTGATACTTCAGCTACTGCAAGGTCCCTTCTTCAGCTTGTGGACGTGTGTTGCGTGTCTGTGGGAGCCGGCTACCGACAGACCTCGAACAAGCAAACAAACAACTCGAATCTCTCCCTCTCTTTTTTTTTTTTTTCTCATCCGTAAGACATAGTCCATCGAGTCACGACGTCGGACGATTTCATGGGCGTTACCATTATACGAACACGCAAACAGGGCTGTTGATCGAAGCACAAAGCGAGAGACGAGGCCATCGTGTTGCTGTCTCACTTCGCTACAGCTCCCGCCTCCAAGTGACCTTGCCAGTTGCAACTATTTGCTATCGAGTGGTCGGGCAAAGGAGAAGAGACGAACTGCAAGCTTGCGTACTTTGATCCCTGTCAAGGTGTGTGCTGTTCGGACTTCATACTGGTGCTAGGTTTTGAAGGCCAGGTACGTGTATGGATGGACCTTGAGAGGACAGGATGCCCCTGGATGTCTTGAGCCACGGGACTTTTGAGTCGTCTGCCCTTTGCCTCGCCTTGATGTGGGCTGTTCCTTGTTGTTGTTGAAACTTATAATTGCTTGACATCTCCCGTCTTCTTTCAATTACTTTTTCAGCCTGCTTTCTCTCATCCCGTTTCCTACTTACACGTCTTTCAGTACCAACTATTGCAGCTCTCGCTCGCCATCGCTCATTTGCCACTGGAAGAACAACGCTCCTTTTCCCTTTATTCTCTTCTCTTGCTTCTCATCATCCATTATGCGGCCGTCTGGGTTCCTGGCGGTCCTTTCCACCGCCTTCTTTGGCTGTGCCGCCGCGAAAGATGCCCCCGTCGTCATCGACAATCCTCAAGGCGTCGAGTTCAAGGCCACTCTGCCCAAGAAGCCCTTCTTCTCCGGCGCTGCGCTGGTGGGCAATGTCAAGGGGTCTGTTTCTGCTACGGCTGGTCCTGCTAGCAAGGGCGTCCGGTTCAGAGTCCAGTTCGAAAACTTTCCCAAGACGGGCGGTCCTTTTCGTGAGTCGTCTTCATAGTCTCCGTCCTTTTTTTTTTTTTTTTTTTCTTTTCTTTTTTTTGCATTCACCATTCCGTTGCAATGGCAATGTGGCGCCCTCAGAGTGGCTAACCAATGCTCGTATGCAGTGTATCACATCCACGAGGAGCCGGCCGTCAATGGCAACTGTACTTCCACCCTGGCCCATCTGGACCCGTACCATCGCGGCGAGACACCCGCCTGCAATGCTTCCGAACCTCAAACGTGCCAGGTTGGCGATCTGAGCGGAAAGTACGGAAAGATCACGTCGGACCCCTTCGTGGCCGAGTACTTTGACCTCTACACGTCTCTCCAGCCCGGCAGCCCGGCCTTCTTCGGCAACCGGTCGATCGTGGTCCATTACGCAAACAAGACACGGCTGACGTGCGCCAACTTTGCCAAGCTGCCGGTGTCTTCCGCAACGACGGTCCACAGCACCGCCAGTGCTCATCACACTGCCATCCATGGTCCCGTTGCTACAGGTGGCGCTCCTCACAACCTCACCGGCTCTCACAACAGCACAAGCCACCACAATTTCACGATCCCCCATCACACCACAGGCGCTGCGTCCACCACAAACGTCTACACCCTCACCAGCGTCGTCACGGTTCCTGGCAGTCCTACCACGACGACGAGCTCAACCACCACGGATGCCGGGAGTGGTTCCAGCGCCACGTCATCTGTTGTTCCCTTCCCGGGAGCAGCATCAGGAAATAGGGTGTCCGTTGGTCTGCTGGGTGGTGTTGTGGCCGCCATGTTCTTCTCCCTGTGAGACACCGAAAGGGAGAGGCCCGATATGCAACCTGGCACGGTTGGCTTCAGCCCTTTATCCCTTCTCTTTCCATTGTTCTTCTTCTCACTTCTCATACACATTTATTATTAGATAGACAAAGTTTGCTTTTGAGCCGGCTCTTCAGCTAGAACAAAAACAGAAAATGTACAGGGCATTGTCCAGAGTCTTGTGCTGGGAAATGTGTTGCGGGCTGCACATTGGGTGCGGCCGGTGGAAACGCGGCTGAGCAGCAGTACTGTAGCAAACAAAAAAGAGACAGCAATGAAGTCACTGCAAGTAATGAATAAACAACATGGTTACACTTTGTGATAATTTCCGTCCACCGGCCTCATTGGTGCGCGAAAGGCAGGGCAGAGGCGTGAAATGAGGCTGGCTGGCACTGCGGCGGCCCCCATGCAAGCAAACGATAACTGGCCGTCCAATAGTCTGGTTGGGCGACCGTCTCCTTGCTTCCCAGGCGCGCATGCAGTGACAGCTCATAAAACACAATCGAACGCCTCTTTTCCGGGCTGAGAAGAGCGAGTGCTGCACGTCTGGCCGGTATAAAAGCAGAGAAACGAGAATGACGGTAGTACAGAGTTGAGTGATCTCTATCAAGAGTTGACTTGGCTGCCATGGTTTGTAGAGCCTGTATGTAGTAACAGCTGCTGCACGTGATTGGCACTTCCCACTACCAAGCACCAGAGCAGCCAACGAAACGGCACATGCAATTTGCCTGGTCATCGCAGCACCTTTTTTTCTGCCAGCTTCACGACCTGCATCTTCACCTCACCTTCTCTTCTCTCTATTCATACCATCTTTTCATTCGGTACTCAGAGGCCTTGCGAGATCCAGCATTGGGCCTCTCCGTCGCAATCTGCACCGTCTCTCCAGCAGATTTCCGTTTCAATCCTCTTCTTTCTTCTTGCTCTACCAACATCTTTACTCGCAGTCACCACCAGCATTCTCATCGCTGGCATCGCCCTGCAGGCGCGATTCAGCTGTACTCAGTCACTCCACCAAACCCACGTTTCCTCACAGGGAATTCCTCCATTGTATCCGTTGGACATTGCACGAGGCCCTCAACCATGCCAAGCGTGTGAAGCACCCGGATTCCCCCTCCCCTCCCGCACAGGTCACGGCATCATCGTCATGGCGAAGAAGAAGGTGAGACAGACATCGGGTGAAGAGGCCTCGCTGGACAATGGCAGTGGAAGTCAACCGTCTGTGCCCGCGATCACGGCGCAAGCGTCTCCGGCATCGTCAAGTTCGGCTCCTAAGCAGAGATCTAGAACATCACAAGCGGCGTCGTCGTCGACGGGTATTCCACCTTCGCTCGTCATCTGTCGCAATAAGTATGTGTATGACCACCGTTTTCATATTTGCTGATATTCTTGCCTTGCCTCGTTCTTGCTCTTTGACTGGCTCGCTCTTTTGTGCTGACCCATGTCTGAACCGCCAGACACTGGCGTCACATCTCTTCCTACCACGGCCCGTGGCTGCAGATGCCCTTTGAGATCCTGGAGACGCTGGCCAACATCAACTACAACACGCCGCTGCCGCGGCCCATCGACGCCGCCTCCTTCTTCGACCTCGTCAAGGTGCGACGGCTCGTCGACGAGGCCACCAACCTCGCCGTGAGGGCTGCTAGTGACATCGCCTCACCGACGCTGACCAATGTCAATGGCGGCTTTCCGAGCATATCGTCCGCCATGGGAGGGCATGGGATGGGCGCGCCGGGCCATGGCGGGAAACTGAGCAGGGAGCGCAAGTTCCGCATGCGAGAGCAGGCAAGCCAGAAGCTGGGACGGGCGTATCGCCTGGACGAAATCGCCTGCAGCGTTGCGACGATGCAGGGAGCGTCGCCGCTGGAAGACGTGGGCAGCCTGGTGTTGCAGCGCAGTCCCAAGGATCCCGACGCCAAGTATGTGCACTTTTTTCACGAAAAGATACCATCACGAAAGATGGCAGAGTGTACGAGTCTGCAGCCTCTGACGGACATCATCGAGGACCGCCCGGGAGAGCCAGAGGTTCTGCGGACTCGCGCGACTGTCAAGATCTTCAAGGAGGATCTCGACGGTGCCGTTTTCGATCTCACGCACGCCCTGTCTATATCTCAGTTCCTTCGCAGGTCGCATAGCTCTGGTCAGGAAGATGCCCAAGGGGGAGACGCCCAGCGCACAGCCCGGAGACGACCTCACGACATCATTTTGGCAGAGAAGGATCAGCCGAGCAGCCTTGAGGCTCAGTTGTACTTCCAGAGAGCGTCCGTGTATCTGACAATGGCTTCTGAGCGCATCTTGGATAGCATGCCGACGCCCTCATCATCCAGTCCTACGAACGGGCAAGCAGTGACTGACGAAGCAGACGACGGAGACGCAGGAGCAGAAGCCAATGGCAAAAGCTCGCCCGACGCCGACAAGGAGAGCGCGCGAAAACAGGCCGAGGCACGGAAGCTAGTCAAGACGTTCGCCAAGCGCGCCATCAAGGACTACTTGTCTTTCATGGCAAACTACCACTACTCGCCCAACCTCCCCGTCAAGGTCGCCAAGGAGTTCAACGACCGCGTCAACCTGGTCGCACACGGCATGCGCAGTTCAAGGGCCATCGACTCGAGCAGCTGGACCGACTCGCACACCGTTTACCCCCTGTCCGACCTCTTTCGCTCCGTTCCCCCCGCGGATCTCCCGCCGTATCCCTCTCAGGATCTGTTGAGCAAGCTGGATTCGGAGCCGGACGAAGCTACGTGCGAGTGGGTAACGTATCACCCGCTGCTCACCGACGCCTTGCACTCGCTGCTCCTGGCGCACTGCCTCGCCCAGACTTCCACCAAGGAGATCCAGCGGCATGCGTACATGGTCGCTCGCCTTGTCAGGCTTTCCGACGGGTATCCCCTATTTCAAGCGAATAGGTCCCCTGCGCGAGCCGATTGGGCCGAAGTCGTCCATCGTACCGACAACTGGCTTGGTCTGAGCTCCTCGTGGGACACCTTGTGCACGCCTGCGCCGCTGCCGATATATGATGACGAGCCGTGCAGCCACCACACGTGTCTTCACGCCCACAACCACGCCCAAAAGGGCGCTGCCGTGTCTGCTGGCAAGGCCGCCTCTGCTGCCGCAGCTCTCCTCGCCGGGGGCTCCTCCGATGCCGCGGCCGAGGAAGAGCGGCGCCGAAGGGAGCTGATTCGCGAGCAGGCCATACTGGATGCCCTAGATGATGAACGGGTGACTGACGAGGCGTCGTTCCGCGCGGCCATCAATGCGCATGAGAAGCGGGCTCAGCAGGACGATGCCATCTCCTCTGACAAGCCCTTCAACGGCACCAGCGTCACGCCCAAACCAGGTCCAGGAACGAGCCCAAGCACGACTGGGCCAGATGCCCCGAATGGGGCTTCAAAGAACAACAACAATACTAAGGCGAAACACCCTCGCCCGCCCACGGAAGACGCCGAGGCCGAGCCCTCGTCGCGTCGATGGTCCGCCGAAGACGGCAAAGACTATCCGCTCATGACGGAGCGCGCCAACGCAATTGCGCGATGGGTGCAAGAGGCTCCTGTCGTCACCGGCATGGTCAAACGCAAGAAGCGGACCAAGAAGCCAGTGGGCGATGCCAATGGCGCTCCTGCAAAGGTCGCCGCGGCCGGGGAGGCACTGGAGAAGCTGGAGATTTAGGCCACATTCTTCTACGATATGTTGCCGTGTGTTTTGCGCGGTATTACGCGCACAGTTTGATATCATCTACTGACGCAACTTACTTTCATCGCATTACGGTTTTATAAGGAAAATCGACATGGCGGCATGAGGGTCATGTCTGCCGCAGGACTACGGAGTAAGGGAAAAGGACGCACGGAAGGTTTACACAAAACACCGCACAGAGGGTTCAAAATGGGTTGTATTGCGGCATGTACTGTATGCATTTTGTTGTATGTAAGTGGTAACAAAGGAAATCATAGGGAAGGGGATGGGTATACATGATGCAGCTGGGCTCGATGGTTCGAGCAGCTGTCTCCAAGCGCTTCGTCTCCGTCACCGTCTACCGCGCACGAGTCGTCACCTCCGTCTCTGTAGTATGCCTCTCTTTCAAAGAGGCCAATTCATCGTCTCGCCATCATCTTGCACCAGATTAGCCCCATTTCATAGCCCCATCAACGCCGATATCACGCACCGAAACCAAGCATTGAACACACAAACCCAGCAATCCGCACTCTTCCCCCCCCCCCCCCCCTCTCTCTCTCTCAGTGCATCTCAATCTCATCATCCCCAACAGGCGCATACCCGTTCCTCCTCCTCAACCTCGCACTCACCCTCTCATCCACCAAGACGCGCAACCTCCTCAGCACGCTCGCGCGCTTACTCTTTCGCCGTCTGATGACCACATCATCATTCCCACTCCCAATCTCATTCATGTTGTTGTTATCTTTGACTTTGCGATTGCCACCATCATCATCATCTTCGTTGTTGTTGTAGTTGGTGGATGGCGAGTAGTCGTGGGTATCGTCGTCGAGGAACAAGTCGGATGTAAACGACCCAAACGAGAAGCGGTTGCTGTTCCTTGATGATGACGTGGAGAGACGGCCCTTGAGGGCAGGCGAGAGAGGGAGGTTCGTTACGAAGTCGTTGTATTCGTCTGCGTTGGGGATGGGCACGACGAAGGCCGTGTAGGCGAGGCCGATCATATTGCGGCAGATTCTTCTTGTTATGCTGCTTGTTGCTTTTTTTTTTTTCTCTCTGTGTAAGATGATGTTTTGCTTTCTGAAGGCTTTGTTGTATGAATGTTTTTTTTTTTT